CAACAAGATAAAAACAGTCAAGTAGGCTAAAATAGCCAAAATGTGGAACGAAGTGCTGCCCTTGATTAAATGTACTTCAATGTTCGAAAATACCAACATTGACCAGCTCATTTGAATATTTATTGTTTTCCCCCTCTGAATCTGGATACCCCCTTTTATGTTTTCTAGATCTAAATCTGAAAAATATTGTAATGTTTAAATTTAGCTGAAATTTTCGTCACTTCGATCTTACTCACCGGAATTCTGGGACCTTCTGAGCTGAGCTGGTTTTTCCGGGGTTTGTTATCCGTGGCGACCGTCTCTAGGCAACAAGTACACACAACTTGCGCCTAAAAGGCTTTAATAATTAAAATACCTTCATTACGTTTAGTTTTGAGTCAGATTACCAGGAAATAATCATCAGGGAACACGAGCAACTTAAATCCACTTTGCCTAAGTAACAAGTGTCACCTGGCAGTTTGTTGCTCGCTGCCAGGTGATTGGCTGAAGAGCTGTGAAAAGGTAGTGGGTGTGTGGGGTGAAGTCAGCGCTCTTCTGTGGAAAAAACCAGAGGCAATTAATTCACTCAGGTGCGAGTGGGTATACTGTCGGTAAGAGACTTTTGCCATTTTTTGTTTGGATCTTTTGCTATTGCATGTGCCTATTTTTTAATGTGTCATTGGACTTTTTTAGTGTGACCACGAATTTTAATAGAAGAATTGATCAAGCCCTAGATCGACTGCGCGCAGGGAAACTGATCAATATTGTAGGTATATTGAGTGTTTGTTTTAGTTTCATGATTTTGAATGGTTTTATAAAATTGCTATTTTATTGGGTAATATTTTAATTGATAATGTGATTGTTTTTTCATCCTCCGTGCAACAGCATTTGGAGCGGTTGGAAGAAATCTTCTCTCGTCTGGATAAAGAGGGGCTTAAAGTGAAACTCTCCAAGTGCCAGTTTTTCCAGAGGCAAGTGAAATATTTGGGGCATGTGGTGTCTGCCGAAGGAGTTTCTACTGATCCAGATAAAATAGCTGCAGTGCGGGATTGGAAAACGCCCAGCAATCTAGCAGAACTGCGTTCCTTTTTAGGATTTGCTAGTTATTATAGGAGATTCATAGCTGGTTTTTCACGCATGGCTGCTCCCTTGCATAGATTGGTCTCTGCACTCCTCCCTCCAGGTAGAAAAGGTAGGACCCCCCCAAAACCGTTATTGGATTTTTGGGATTTGGAGTGTGAACAAAGTTTTCATCAGCTCAAGGCTGCTCTGGTTTCTGCACCAGTGCTTGCTTTTGCTGATTTTCAGAAGCCATTTACATTGGAAGTAGATGCAAGCTATGGGGGTCTAGGGGCAGTGCTTTCCCAGGAGTATGAGGGTAAATTGCGGCCAATAGCTTTTGCCAGTCGGAGCTTAAAGCCTACAGAGAGGAATATGAGAAATTATAGTTCCATGAAGCTTGAGCTTGTAGCTCTCAAGTGGGCCGTCACTGAAAAGTTTAGGGAGTATCTTTTGGGTCATCGTTGCACTGTATTTACAGATAATAACCCACTAAGCCATCTGTCCACGGCAAAGCTAGGTGCCACAGAACAGAGGTGGGCATCAGAGCTGGCCGCTTTTGATTTGACCATAAAATATCGGCCTGGGGCTCAGAATGCTAATGCAGACGCATTGTCCCGCCTACATGGAACTGTAATGGAATTGGATGGTCCATTATCTAATGATATTGGAGTGCAGTGTGAGATGATTCCCAGTGTTCAGGCAGAGATAAGCGTTTTACCTGGTTGTTCTTTCTCTGATCTCTGTACGTTACAGAAACAAGACCCTGTGATTGGTCCCTTCTTAAAGTATTGGGAGGTGGCCAGGTTGCCAGATTCAAAGGAAAGAGATGGTCTTGGTAAGGGTTCGAGGGAATTGGTCCGTCAATGGGGGCGGATGAAACAAAGGGAGTCTGTGTTGTATCGCTGCACTCATACTCCTGATGGAGTGAGGGAGGTTGACCAGCTGGTGCTGCCACAGTGTTTACAGGGCCGCGTCCTTCGTTTACTCCACGATGAGCATGGCCATCAAGGGGTTGAGCGTACACTGCAGTTGGTGCGCTCGCGATATTATTGGCCGCACATGTATGCAGATATTGAGAGATGGTGCAGAGATTGTGAAAGGTGTGTTCTTTCTAAGGCTGTTGTGCCAAAGATTAAAACCTTTATGGGTAGTATTTCTGCATCTCGGCCTCATGAAATTTTGGCAATTGATTTTACAGTACTTGAACCCTCAACTGATGGTAAAGAGAATATTTTGGTAATGACTGACATCTTTTCTAAATATACTCAGACTGTCCCTACAAAAGATCAGCGAGCCAGTACAGTGGCAGAGGCTTTAGTGAAGCATTGGTTTCATTTATTTGGGCCTCCAAGCCGTATACATTCTGATCAGGGGCGAAATTTTGAAAGCGCTTTGGTGCAACAGCTGTGTAAAATTTATAAGATAGAGAAGAGTCGGACGACACCCTATCATCCACAAGGTAATGGTCAATGTGAACGATTTAATCGTACACTTCATGACTTGCTGCGTGCCCTGCCTCCTGAACAAAAGCGCCGGTGGCCGCGGCATCTCTCCCAAGTCACATATGCGTATAACACCACAGTACATCAGTCAACTGGTATGACTCCATATTATTTGATGTTCGGGCGAGAGCCACGGTTGCCAGTGGATTTTTGGTTGGGTGCTGGCAGTGAAGTTGATGAGGACGTCACTCTTGAAGAGTGGGTACAGGAACACCAAAAGTCCTTGGCTGCTGCATATGATGTTGTGCAGCAACGGTTAGAAAGGAGAAGGGTTCAGAGAGATTTGAATTCCTCTAAATGTGCTAGTCCTGATTTGGAGCAGGGCGATTTGGTGTATATGAGAAACCACTCTGTAAGAGGTCGCAATAAGATTCAAGATTTTTGGGATCCCACACCCTTTCAAGTAGTGCGACCTCCTCCTGGTCATGGCGTAGTATATTCAGTCGCTCCTGCTGGGCACACTGGTCCACTTCGACAAGTACATCGAACTGAGTTGAGAAACATTCCAATCAGGGAATTGGATGGAGACCAAGATAGTGGCCTACAAATGTCAAAACAGGATGATCTAACCGGAATGTTGGCCACAAATAACAGTATGGTTGATGAAGTGGAACAGATGTTTACAGAACAGGGAGATGGAGGCGATTCTGCAGTGTTGGAGGAAGGGACGTTGAGTCCCACACATGTGGGGGTGCCCCATTTGGATTGTTCTGGGGACCTAGAACCTGGGGAGGAAGATGTTGCCAGCTTGACGCAAGGGTCTCGTAGGTCAATGAGGAAGACTGCTGGACAGCACTCAAACCCATTTAAATTGCCACAATCCATTATAAAATGAGCAAAATTTTAAGTGTGCTCTCTTTTCAGCTCATCGTCGGGTCGCCGATGCCCTTTGAAGGGGAGGGTTGTAACAAGTGTCACCTGGCAGTTTGTTGCTCGCTGCCAGGTGATTGGCTGAAGAGCTGTGAAAAGGTAGTGGGTGTGTGGGGTGAAGTCAGCGCTCTTCTGTGGAAAAAACCAGAGGCAATTAATTCACTCAGGTGCGAGTGGGTATACTGTCGGTAAGAGACTTTTGCCATTTTTTGTTTGGATCTTTTGCTATTGCATGTGCCTATTTTTTAATGTGTCATTGGACTTTTTTAGTGTGACCACGAATTTTAATAGAAGAATTGATCAAGCCCTAGATCGACTGCGCGCAGGGAAACTGATCAATATTGTAGGTATATTGAGTGTTTGTTTTAGTTTCATGATTTTGAATGGTTTTATAAAATTGCTATTTTATTGGGTAATATTTTAATTGATAATGTTGTTTGTTTTTCAGCTGTGCTGTCTCTGCTGTCCTTTTTTTTTGTTCTTTTGATTGATTTGTAATTTTGTTTTGGTTAGTCCGTCCAGCCGTAGAGGCGGTTATTGATTGAGAGCAAGTGTTGTAAGGGCGGACTAACCTCTCTTTTGTTTTTTTTATTTTAATTGTTTGTGCCACTTCCCTTTATCTCTCAGATCACAGGCCATACATAGCACTGATTCCCAGCTGCGCTGAGACCCGAATTGTTTGCAGTGTGTGCCACGATTGCAGTGTCACTAAGCGGGGTGTGACGGGTTGTAGTGTTATTTCGCACAGTTTGTGTGGTAAGTCTCATGCGCAGCTGGGATATCAGCAGGATGTGTTGTAAGTCCTGTCTGGAAACGACTGGGAATTTGTATGTTTAACTTATGTAATAAATAAATGATCAATTATTTCTTTGCCCCGTTTACTCATCCCTTGTCCTCGGTTACGCCTAAATGACAGCCGGGGAAATTTCCTTTTAGACTTGTAGAAGCAGACTTAAGTTTAATAGACTTATTCTGCTTCGGGAAAGAGAAAAGGCTCAGTACTTATCTAAACACAATCGGATAAATCCGCATAATTTATTTCAAATGTACTACTGTGGTAGTAGCACCAAACTGACACCTTTACACACCCTTCCTGTCGCATAACTATGAAGGATAAAAAGCTAAAATAGTAAAGCTAAATATTAAAGTTATGATGTAATATGAATAAAAATAATCAAATTATCTGAATAATGTGACCAATTTGAGATCATAGCGTAGCAAAACTGAAAAAAAAAAAAAAATAGGGTCATATAACACTTTGAAGGTTGGAAATATATTAAAGAAAACAATTCAAAAAATTTTATTTACATATTTTTGGGGAGGGAAAGCATCTGTGTATCTATACATATATGCATGTGTAAGTATCTACATGTGTATAAATATATATACACACACACATCTTTTTTATTTATTCTGTTTATTATTAAAGCTGGACTATTTTGACAAGCACCGATTTCTGTTGTGATCTATTATATTGTAGTTAAAATCTAACAAAAACAAAAAAAACAACCAAAATATTGTACCAGAAGTTTCATTCCAGCCCCAAAACGCTTTTCCTCGTAACCTCGATAATAAACACCACTCGGGTATAAACACTCATTTATTGTAGTATCAGAATTAGTCATGCCAGTGGTTATATTTCCATGCTGTGGTGACTTTCAGTGTAGACCAAAAAAAAAAAAAAAAAAAAATCTAGTTAGGTATAATCATCATCATCATCATCATAACTTGTATCCCCTCCCTGACCATGGCTGTTTTATGGTCATGAATCAGCAGCGATGGTTCCCAAGGTGTAAATAGTAATATAGGGAAAATAAAAAGTCACCAAAACGCAGCAGGACCGGTGGGCCAAAACCGAGGCCGGTCTCCAACCAGGACCTCACACCTGTATTCCAGTGACCTATTAAGCAGATACACAACCAAACCATGGTTTAATGCCCGACAGAGACGATTCGCCTTGAAAATCATCTCAGTGTTACTTTATCTGTACATTGCACCTAACGGGGGACACATATGAGCTCTAAATTCTTTATATAAGGACGTCATTGAACGTGGGAACCGCTTGCCAGTGCATAATCCCAATTACCTGAGCTATGTTAACACCTATATTCTCCAGTAGGCATCTATTAAGGCCTTACACTAAAAAGAAAAACCTCCATGCCCGTGATGTCAAAGCCACTCCCACTTTGACTCTACAGAAATTATAGTTTTGAATTCACTGACGATGGACGATGTGTGTGAGCTCCGTCTGGTGTGTGGAGTACCAGTGTCGAGAGGAAGAAATTTAAAATAAACAAAAAAAATCGACTGACAGTAAAAGTATTCTTAGTAACAGTGCTGAGCAGGATCAAAACAACTGATTTGCTCATTATTTGTTCATTTCTGGAGATGATTTCAGCTTCTATTTTTTTAAACTTCTGTGTACACATTGTTTAAAGACTAATAAATTAAAACAAAATGGGACCATTTAGTAGCTTCAAACAAAGCATGTCCAAAAAATAAAAAAAACAAACCCAAAGGAAAAAGTTTGTGTGATGATAAAAACGTAAAGACGCTAAAAATAAACTTTGTGTGGCAGGTTCATAATTTAAAGTAAAAAGAAGAGTTTGGCGGCAGCGTGGCGGTGGAGTGCAGAGGTCGATTTCCTTGAAGCAGAAGTGAGAGGTTCAGTTAGCTACTCAGTTAACGGATTTCAGAGCGTTCAAGCTTTTCATGGAGCTGCAGGAGGAGGAGACGTGTTCACTTTGCAGTCCTTCGGTGTTCTTCGTGAGCCTTTTGCGTGTTTCTCTGGTCCAATTTCAGACAGAAATTGTCTCCTGTTATTTCTTCTTTTCTTTTTTTTTTTTGCTCCTCTCCTGGTGTCGTTCAGCTGTGTGGGAGGACGCGACTCTGTGTTTGTGATCCTGCACTTGTCCAGTCCACAGTCACTGAGGTGTTGCATCTCCGTTGACTTCTATACCGTGCTGCTGCAGCTGTGCTCGAAGCAGTGCGTTGTCATTCTTTAATTCCTCAATCTGAAAACGTAAGACAGAGTATTTAATTTCATTCATCCTTGATCCTTCAAAGACTTTTTTATTAAAATGCCCCTAACTTTCTTGATTCATGCCACGTTTATGGTGTTTTAGGTGCAAACAGGAGAGCGGCGGTGCTTTTCTCTCTCACATTCATGTAAGTGTTATTTTCTATGCCCAATTTTAACCTAATGGTCACAATCGAATGCATGAACTGGAAACAAATCCGTGTTCTGTATCTTGCCCAACATGCAGGCCGGAGGAGCCAGGACTGAACCACCGCTTTTCTGTTGCCCCCGCTTTGGTGTTGAGGCAAAGAAAGTGGAACCTCAGTACTCTACCTCCACTATTAGTCAGAAATAACAGACAAAACTCGTATTGAGCAGAATTTAATTCAGCTTATTGGTGCAGTCCTCTGCAGTGTTTATTTTCTGTCATGTTACAGTGCGCTCACAACGTTCAGACTGATCGAGACACTCGAGTTCAACGTTTTTCTCTACTCTTGGCACTGCACCGCTTTGTCTGTGAGGACCCAAAGCCCCCTCCACCTATGTTTGCAAAGGGTAGCAAATCAAAATATGAGATGTGTGCACAATGATGGGAAGTTAACCTGTTGTCTAAGCAGCTCGTTGTCCATCTCGACTCGCTCCACCTCTTTGTAACTGTCCTGCAGCCGCTGGTTATTCTGACGCAACTCGCGGATGTAGTCGCACGCTTTGGACAGGATGCCTCCTTTACTCTGAGGAACAAACAAATAATATAATATTTTTCTTTCTAGTCTTTCATTCCCACTGTGAGCTGACTTTTCTCCAGCGGCCGACACACTTTGAAATTCCTTCCATATAAACACTTTGTTACCTGCTGAGCTAAAAATAAAATAAATAAAGTAAACACTGTCACACGCCCCTGGCTGTAGTAAAGCCTGGTGAAGGCATGAATGAAGTCAAAGAACAGGGTGAACAGGAAGTGAATGAAGGCCTGACAGAGGCAAATTTAAAAAGATCAGTGACATGAAACAGCTGCTTTCAGACTAAATGAAGTCACGTTACATACTGAGCTAATCTAACTAGCAGGAGCTTCTGTAACCATCTGTCAGCACTTACACGGTCATGCAAAATATACACGAGTTTTCAGTGAACGTCAGAGGGTTTTTTTTAATACAACGCTCACCGCTCCGGTTCTGCTGTCGATGCTGCAGTCAGGAATGATTTTTGACAGCGTGACAATCCAGTTATTAATCTTGTCTCTTCTTCTTCTCTCCACTGTAAAGAAAATAAAAAGGATGCTCAGTTTTAGCTCTCGCAAGCTGTGGTTTCACACACCGATCAGCCCCAACATTAAAACCACCGACTGGTGACGTCAACAACACTGAACATCTGCTGGGAAACCTCAGCTCCTGCCACGCAGATCTTACTTCGATATGTGCTACCCTTCTTGTTACATGCACGATAAGTGAAACTGTTTCTGTTCTTCTTCTGTTGCTCTTCTTTTTCCAGGTATAAAGCCTCCGCCTATTGGCCCATTCAAAGTTAATCGGTACATGTCTATTGGCTGATCTGAGCACATGAGGCCAATCACTCGCCAGTGATCGTTACAAAAGCGCAGATCCCTCGCCAGCTGTGCCTGCTCTAATCCTTAAGTGACATTCTGGTCCAGACTCCTTGCCAGTTGGTGGCGGTAATGCACCAATTCGTTTGCCAACCGTCAATAAAAAAAAAGGAAAGGAAATAGAAGAAGAAGCTTCGCCTGCTTCCGACTCTCAGTGACCTTTGTGTTTGGTAGTTTCTGTGTGTGAACAGCAGCAGACTCCCACAGCACGACATTACACCATCCCATGCAACAAAAACTGCTCAGAAACCACATGAGGGACACCAGAAGAACCCAAAGAGTGTATTCCCAGAACACAGAGGCTCTACACAAGAGCCCACATAAGATTCATTTAATGTTGTGGCTAACCTGTGGAGATACACACGAGCTGGAAAAAAAAATGCTGCTGGAAATGTGCACTTTGACATGTTACTGCCATTCATGTCTGTGATTAAAGAGCAATTAAAATAAAATCGCTTTCAAACTTTCATTTAAGTTTAGATCCTTCCTTCACTATTCAAATTAAATCTGGTCTTTCCTTAGGAACTTGAAGTTAAAAAGGAGTGATAGATGTGACAGCCCTGAAATATCCGTAACCTTGGCGATCACGCACCTTCATTGTGCTGTGCTCTTCGCCTCTCATCCCTGGGCGCCCGTGGACCATCTACTTTCCTGTAAAGGCACAAAGAAAAAACACAACAATTGTAAATTAACATTGAAAAAAAAAATGCTAAGACACCACACTGAATGCTGATGTGCCAAAACTGTGACCCAAAAGTCTGTTAACAACAAAAAGTATTGATATAAAGGAAAGCATGTTAACCAAAACCCATCTGGTTTTAGTAGAAAATTATCTTTATTTAGGTTTAATGAGCTGTAAAGAACCCCACAAATATACCAACTGCTAGAGTCTGTGTTAACTAGACTTTCACCTCCAAAGAACAGACCCAGATCCTTTAAGTCCTCTGAAGGGCACGCTCTTTGAGCTCAACCCTTTGAAGGATTCAGGCTCTAACCCCCCCCCTCAAAAAAAAAAACATGAGTATGGTTTACTGTTGCCCTCTCTGAAGGAGAATCAGTGACAAACTAAACACCAAAGCTCAGTGGTTCCCACACACTTATTACCTGGGAGGGCTGCCCAAGTATAGTAATGGGCCCTTATTATAGTTAGCCTTTCATTTTAGCATTTTTTGCAGTTAATCTTATCCTCCTCACTTTTATTTTGAAAGTCTCATCACCGCTACACCACTAGTCCTGCGTTAGCAGTGGCTAGTAGGTGGCTCACAGGCGTGTGCTGCTCATTAGTCATTCAGATGAAGATGTCCTTCAGTGGCTCAATGTAGTCCAACCTCACCATCACAGACTGAAACTGCAAAGAGGTGGAAAACTGGGTCTGAAATCTAAATCTGTGGGAAACACTGATGCCTGAACTAAACCTGCAGCTATTAACCAAAGCCACAGGCAGACCAAAATCCAGTTTAATCCTCGTATCTTAAGCAGCCACCAAACGTCTGATTCTACGACACATGATGGGGGCAGGGTGGGGGGCGTAAGTGAAAGTTCTTCTCACCAGTCTGAACTGCCATGCTGCAACATCTCGCTTTCACCAAGGTCTCTGGGGATGGCAGGTAAGTAGGACATAGTATGTTGGATGTTTTAAATGATTTAAATGATGGTTTTTCTTTTTTTTTAGTATATATTTATTGTTTTACACACAATGACAAGACGGATCACGCCAAGAAGGAAAGCAAGAGGCAGAGTACACCCAGTCCAGTGCAGATTGGGAGGAAAAAGGTGAGATGTCGGCCAAACAGATGTGCAGAGGGATTATGGTGATTTGGTCATTCTGAGATTTTTTGGGAAGTAGCATCAATGTGCGACGAAGCTTTAAGTTGTACTCACGCAGTGTAGGTGTGTGTGCGTGGCGCTATGGTACGTTGGGTCGCCGTCTGCAGCACCTCAGGTGGGCTCATCATCACGTAAAACTGACCTGGATTTGACGAAACACCACGAGGCGTTAGATCGACAACACGAGCCTGTTTTATTTGACGGTTAAAGAAGTGCTTCTCACCTCCCGCTTGTGTAATTGTTGGGTCGGCGGTGGCCTGCACCGACACGGCCGTGGCTGTTCCATCGCTGACTGTGGCTGCAGGGAAATAAGCGAAACGTGTCTCTCCTCCCACCGTCTCCCCGCCAGGACTTCCCCCGTTGCTGAAAGGATTCTGGATGACGGCCTGCAAAGTCGGAGACAGAAAGTTTGTACAGCTGGAATCATCTCAAATACAAATTCGATTACTTTTGCCACTGGAAAACCAAAATGCTGAAATACAGTTTTCAGAATAAGAGCTCCTTAACTCCTTAACCCATGTTTGATATACAGACTGACTCTGTGTCATCCGGTCACGTCCTTGTCATGCACTTTTTCACAGACTGTGTTTTTAAAATGTCACAGGTGTTCATGGTAAAAGCCAAAAATAAATCTTAAAATAGGGTCACTACCCAAACGTTTCCAGACCGAACCATATACACTTCTCTAAATAATTACAGCCCGTGTGAAATTTCACGTAGAAGAGGTTGACGTCATGGTGATCCAATCCCCTATTTGCATGCCCCTCAGCCTTCCTGTCAGCCACGAGCTGATAGATTAGTCAGATAAGGAAGCGGGTGTATCTGTGGCTTCCTGTACAGACTGATGGCTGCTGCGTCTTGACTGCAGTCTGTTTTTATTTCTAGAGCCTTTTGTGCATCCTGATCATCTTGCAGGGTTAACTGACCTGCGCTACTGCCTGAGGGGCTCCAGCAAATGCTGCAGTGGAGACGACGCTGACGGCTCCCGTCCCATCAGCTGCCGCTTCTAGTTGGTCATCTGTCACCTGAACCACGCGATAGGTCACCTGCAGACAGAGGAGGGCATGAAGTCAGTGACCATTATGGGGGTGTTTGAAATTTGTTTTTGGTACGAGTCGACCTCACACAAGCCTGGTGATGCACATTCATCGAGTAGCCGTCACGCAGACGTTTCATCTTATCGTTCATCTTATCATATCACAATATGTATTCTGAAGATGACAGCAATGATCCAATCACAGCGCTGCTGGGACAGCCACCATCACTGTTCACAGCCTCTCATAAACTCTCTGATCAGAAACTCTTTGTTACCATATTTCGTGAGTTTTTTTGGTTCTGAAACTTCTCAAGTTCACTTTCAAATATTTGGGTCAAAATTTTAAAAAATAGATTTTGTTCAAAGGTGTCAGTGACCGTCTGGAGTGAAAACAACAGTCGTTGCTAATTTTGCATGTGCTTATCAATCAAGTCAATTACACTTTCACCCCACAGACCAACAGTGACACCCACGTTCAATGACCTCAGGCGGCGTGACGCCCGGATTTCGATTCGATCGCTGCCAAAGTTGAATCTGTGGCTACAGCCTCGCTTTTAAAGAAACATAACTGGGATAGAAAGAAAATAAGATCCACAATAAATATGTCAACTGAAGAAAAAAAAAAATCACTGACAGAGCAACTATATCACAACTGCCCACTCTCCACATATTTATTACTAAGGTCTGTCTGGCTTTGTTGTAAAGATATCCTCACATCCTTTGTGTAAAACTATGACGCCTGATCCCAGGATACTAAAATCTGTTGTCACAGCTCAGAACAGGAGTAAATTTTTCACCAACAGTAGACAGACGCTCCTGCTGCTGATGGACTGCTACCTTTAGAAATATGGCTCTGTGTCTTGCTGTTGTGTCCATCTCCCTTGTATAAGACTGTTATACTCCCACTGTGAAATTCTGGGCTGATCTACAGATTTTTCATGTTTAAAATAACAATTTGTCTGATAGCTGACGCCAAAGAGTTTTTTACATTTTTCTCCTTTGGTTGAGGTAAACAAATAATTCTTCCTTATATAAAAATGAGCTGACATCCTTTGAAAGTTTTTCAGCTCCTGATCAACAGATCCTGAACATTGAACCAGGGCACAACTGCTGCTATCAGTTACCGTGGTTACCAGTATCTGAAGCTCTATTGTTGCATTCCAACTAGAAAATATCTGAATGGCAAATCAGCAACAGAGGAAATGCTGCCTGCAGCTCACCTGTCCGCCGCTGTTGTCTGTACGAAATTGGTACTGCACATTGTGGTCAGCAAATGCAGTCTGAGGGACACCGGTGATGGTCACTGCAGTCTGCTCGTCCGTCCCCACAGCTTCCCCTGCAACACACACACCACCACGTTTCAGACCTCGAACACTAAACAAGCGCAGGGCCGTGTAACGCAGGTGCACGCCTTTTGGCTTAACAGCAAGCCTGTTTTGTTTTTCTGCATGGGCAAAAATCTGCCACTGTCCAAACAGGTTTTGGCCTCGTCTGAACTATTGACATGTTACTTTCCAAGTGGAGCTTCGTGTACCCACAGTACTCATGTCCTCACTACCATAAAATTCATTTTTAGTCACTAAATGCCAAGAAATAACAAAAAAATATCCACTATTTTGTTGAATTAACTATATCCAACTCAATCTTCCTTGTGTGGAGAGTCCAAAAAATGCATTCTGAACCTGGAAAAACTCTATAAAGTCTCACTTTTAAGTGTGTTTTGTTTCAGTCGTGTGGATTACAAGAACAGATGCTCCTACCTTCCTGTAGCTGCACCACCTCCTCTGTTTCCTGTTTGTCGTGACTAAAAACAAAAACAGAGCAGAGCTGAGTCAATTTCAAGTATTTCTCTGAAATAAGATCATTAACGTTTTCTGAACAAAAACCCAGCTCTCCTGAACCAACTGAGGAAATACGGCGCCCCCGGGTGGTTATATAAGGGAATAATCATTAAGATATAAATAAAATGAAACATTACTGGCGTCTAAGACTTAAAATCAGTTCATCTGCACTTAAAAGGGGGAAATGAGAATTATTTAAGACCTAGAAGTCTAGTCTAACTGCTCTGACCAGTTGCGCATGGAAAGGCAAACTTCACAAATATACATAATACTCCAAACAACGCCCTAATGTAGTTGGATTTAAGAGTTTGAAACCTTAGAGATGCTGCATCAGTTACAGTAGCAGTGAAGTGCGTTTACTTGTTAGCCTAAAAACAGTCACAAACTGCAGCTGTGCACTTGTTTTTATTGTGCATTGGATAAAACAAGCGCACAGATTTGGAAACGGGCGCACAGCTAATGTGTGCAGAAATCCTCTGAGAAAGTGCGCAGACAGTGCGGGACAACACGAAACAAATATTAAAAGTACACTGAGAAGGCAGGTTATTAACTGCACTGCGCTGCAGGGAGCAGGGGGAAAACAGAGGGGTTTATAGGCCGTGGTGGAGCCATGTCTGAGCAGGAAGCGGGCAGCAGCTTCTCACCTCGCCGAGCTGTCCAGACTTTGCTCCAGCATATCCATGAAGCTTTTGCGGGTGTAAAACGCCGATATTCAACGACACCGAATTACGGAGATGGAAGCGCTGATCACGGGGACAAACACACGGGTCATGTGAGGAAGACAGTCCAGGACACGTGAGGCGCCGACCGGGCAAGGAGCTAAAATGGAGGCCGCTGAGGAGCAGGACGGAGCTGTCTGCGTCTGTGCGGAAAAGTAGAAAAAAAAAGAAAAAAAAGAGTCCGGGTGTTTCCGCAGCGGTGCCGAGGCGGTGGAGGGAGGCTGAGTCCTGGATTATGATCGTTATTGTGTTATAAATTCGGATCTGAATGCACGGATTGAGGCTGGTTTGCGGTTAAATTGGTTTCTTTATGTCCTCCGTGTCCTCTGTTTGCGCACAGCTGCTGTTTGTCCGCGCAAAGCGGCTGCGACATGCGCTCCAGAAGACACGGAGTGGATTAGTTTGTTCGTTTTTTGACAGAAGGAAATGCGTCTTTTTTGCTCTAAATGTCGCTTTGTCTTTGTAAGATTTGGAGAGCTTGTATTCACGTGACTCCTGGTGTGCAAACAGTTTGGTTAGAGACGGATTTTCATGGGATTTGTTTGGTTAATTCTCTATTAAAAACGATTTACTCGCGAATTATTTGACTTTGGATTTAATAGCGCGGTAAATATTGTCACTGAGAGTCATTTTTTGTGCTCGTTTTTCTCTCCCAATCAATCAGTTCCTCAATGGGATTTTTTTTTCGGGTCTCTTTTGCCCAGGTGACCACAGAGATCCAATACGGGTTTTCTCTCAAACCACATGACAAAAACTGTCTACATAACAAGGCACAGCCGAAGCTCGCATGGTTTTAACACATCGGGCAGCTATGGTGACCATTTTACTTGAAATTCAGACCAAGTTTGTACATCGCTGAGCTGCTAAATGAGTGAAAAAGACAAATAAAACGGGTTCTTGTTTCTTTACAGCCAACCTTCCCATCAATTTCTGACAGTAGGAGGCGATGCTGAGTGTCAGCGGCAGGAGGCACGACGTCTTCCACAGCTGATCTGCGCAACTGAGATCAGCAGATTTTCTTTTACAGTCTATTTAATTCACAAATAAATGCACCTTTATCATACACAGAATCTCAGAAGCTGTCTATAAAATAAAGAACGAACATACTGAAGCTTGTAAGGCCTCACAAAGCACATCACATTTATTTAAGAACATGTTTTACACATTAGGCCCCTGTTTGTTTGTTTGTTTGTTTTTTAAATACTTGGTAATTTTACACCAGATATCCATAAATCCTTTGATTGAAACAATATTCATTGCCGTTTAATTTACTTGTATAAAGGCTTTAACAGTGTGTCCAAAAGTCATAATTCATAGTGTTTAATAAAACTGTCTGCCATTTATTACATGTCAGTTTTTAGAGCCAGCACAAAGGGGAAAATGAATTTTTGCAAGCATAGCTTTAACCCTTTAAAGTCCACTATTAAAATGAACCACTTCTAGCTTGTGTTACATGTTATAAATGGGATAAAAGTGCATATGGAAAAAAAACCCCCACATACATACTCATCGGCCACTTTATTAAGTATATCTAGTTAGTACTGGGTTGGACCCCCTTTTTCCTCCAGAACTGCCTTAAGTCTTCATGGCATAAAGTCAACAAGGTGCTGAAAACGTTCCTCAGAGATGTGGCTCCATATTGACATGATAGCATCACAGTTTCTGCACATTTGTCAGCAGCACATTCATCCATCTCCCACATCCCAAAAGGTGCTGTACTGGAGTAAGATCTGGTGACTGTGGAGGTTATGTTATGCTGCTGGAGGCTGTCATCCTAAGATTGGTACACACTGGTTATAAAAGGCTGAACATAGGAAGATTGTGCATTTAAAAATGCTTAATTGGTGCCAAGCGGCCAAAGCGTGCCCAGAAAATATCCACCACGCAATTACACCATCACCAGCAATCTGAAGACATTTTCTCCCAGAGAAAAATACTGCTCACGGGATATTTTCAGTTTTCTAAAAACCCCATGGTTGTGCAGTAAAATCCAAATAGATCAGTAGTTTCTAGAATACTCAGACCAGGTTTGCACTGTAAGGGCGTCCAAAGAAAAAGAGAAACATTTGTTGCCCATTCTGATGCTCAGTTTGAACTTCAGTAAGTTGTTTCACATTGCTTAAATGCACTGAGTTTTCATCATGCGATTGGCTGATAAGAAATTTGCATTAACAAGCAGTCAAACAAGTGTCCCTAATAAAATGACCAGTTAGCATATAATCTCCATCAGCTTGTTCATCAGTTTATGAGATTTAGTAAAATGCTTCAGCCTCAGTGTCTTTGTAGTCACTCCAGCTGTCCAGCCATTCATTTTCCTAGTCAAATTTTGGTCTCAAGCAAGGCAGACTGATCTGGCTGATATAAGAGAGGCGAGATGGAAGCGCCTATAGAGGAGCATGTCTGTGTTTCCGAGTGTGGGAGGAGACTGGAGCACACAGGGAGAACCTGTAAACTCCACAGAGAAACACTCCAGCCGACCAGGACGTGAGTGCTAACATCTGCACCACTGCGTAGTCCTCTCATCCTGCCACTGAAATGTAAAGACACTGTATCATCTGTATCTGTAACACTGTATCTTGTATCTTCTCATACATATTATATGTATGATGTTTAGTGATGTTTAGTGGGCTACAATCAGAATAATTAAAGGTCTACAAAAGAAAACCAGTCTGCCAGAGCACACTTTTGGTGCTGTTTTTGTTTTATGACTCGGAATCTCTTAGTTAAGGCTGTCCAAAGAAATACATTTCTGGCCATTTAGGTATTTAAACCAAAGGCTAAGTAGGAAATTTGTGTAAGAGCTTAAGAAAAGATGTTGCGTAAATGCATCCTTACAGGATGTGAAGACTCCAGCTCTGTGGGGTTCTTCTGGAGTTAAAACTTTTGCAGAGCTTTTACAAAACGACTACAATTCAAGTCTCAGCCAACAGATCTGCTTAAAATTATCCCTTATAGGCATCACATGGCTTTGTGCGTGGCTTTGTGCAGAGGGTGACTCATTTATTCAGACTGTACACCCATTACAGTGAGACAGAGAGAGAGAGACAGAGGGAGGGAGGAACAGCCACCTAACAAGTGCCAAACTTGAGGCCAACCTCTCCTCCCATCTCATTCTTTCCTACATGGGCACTCTGATGGGTTTGCAGACAGCTCAGTTTGCAGACTGAAGAGAGAACCAAGACGAACACTGGGATCACGTAAGGAAATCGTCAAACTACTCTGCAAAGATCTCCAGAGATTTCTCATCCTCTAACAAACTTTAAAAAGGTAAATCGAATTTTATAAGTTAGTATCTTTTGGGCAAGGACATCACTTTAATTTTTGGGTGGAGTTGTTAACCCCACCCATGTCTTTTGATTAATTGTGCTTTGTCGTTTGTGTGCTTAATGTTAGGGGATTAAAAAGAGCCGGATGTATTTGGAAGTAATCAATATGTTCCAGTGAATTAAGCTTTGTTTTCTTTTTAACTTTGAACTTTGAGCCAAAAAGTTGCCTCATTTTTGTGTGTTTCAATGAATATTTCTTGGGCATATTTCTTTCATCTTATTTGTGACACATGTTCCACGTCGACTGTCGGATCAAACTGAATGGTGTGCATTTGCACTTGAATAAAACCTGCTCAAATTGACTCTTTAGACTCAAATGAATATAATCATATCTGTTTTGACAGCAAAATAAGAAAGTTACAATGGCGACACCCAAAAACACTCCACGAGGTGCAAACACACCACTTTCTCCCAACCGGATCACCCGTCTCCAGGAAAAGGAGGACCTCTGCAACCTCAACGATCGACTGGCCGTCTACATCGACAAGGTCCGCTCTCTGGAGGTTGAGAACGCCGGGCTGCGTCTGCGCATCACCGAGTCGGAGACAGAGGTCAGCCGGGAGCTGACGGGTCTGAAGGCCGCCTATGAGACGGAGCTGGCAGATGCCCGCCAGACACTGGACTCGGTGGCCAAAGAGCGAGCACGGCTGCAGCTGGAGCTGGGGAAGCTGCGAGAGGACCACAAGGAGCTGAAAGCCAGGTATAATGTTTACTGTCTTTGCACGTGTCTGCAGGAGCTGCTGAGAAAAAAGATTGATTACTTTGGGTTTGTGCCCTCTCATCTTGGGTCCCCAAATTCCTTAAACTCACCCCTGTGTGTTTGATCGATGTGGGTGGGGTTTTTTTTGTTGTTTTTTTATAGCTATAGTGGGAGTGTGTAACTTTAAAAGACAAAATAGTAACAACAAGATGAAATCATGAGCTGCAGAATTCACCCTTACTCATTCCTTACACTCAGGGGCTGTCACGGCACGATTTAATGTGGTTTGACCTTTAGCTTCCAGTATCTAATTTCAGCAAGTCTTAGGAGTTTCTTGTCATTCTGCTGACTTCATAACTCATTTCTGTTTGTGTTATATTTACATTAGCAGTTACTATTATCCCATAATTATCACCTGTCCCACAGTGTCTGCTGTTCAGCTAAAGTTATACGATACAGCTTTTGAAGTCAGGATTGCCAAACTCTTCTCAGAAAGAACTCTGCTGCAGAGTGTCTGGTGATCATGAGATGTCTCGCTGCTGCGAGGCATCTAAAATCCCCCTTTTCAAACAAACCCTTTCAATTGAAGGCATCTATTTGTCCCTTAATACAAATGTGAAAGGGTTTGGACTTCAGTGTTGATACATATTAAGCAGCAGTTACTCATAATCTTTTAATAACTGATGTTTTAACTTGGTGATGCACTGAGAGTTGTGTTACCCTGCCGCTGGAAACACTCCCTATAACTGTAACATATTCTCCTCATTGCTCACTGGGCAAGAGCTGGAGTGGGACTCCAGCTCTTTCCCATGCTTCCACATCCAGAGGCTGATGACTAACTCTTTCCCCAGCTTCTCCTCCTTCACCAAAGTCATCATTATACACAATACGTGGCAGTGTTTAAAGAGCTCCACTCTTGCCTGGATTATTTTTCCGTAAATAATAAAACGACGGCCACAGTGTGTTTGGCAAAGCCATACCGTTGCCATGGCAATATCTCAGCTAAAAACCAACGGCTGTGGCTTGTGGCTACCAGATCCACGGGACTTGATGAAAATCACTGTGGTCTATGACTCATATGCACCGAGGTCTTTCCCCTGCTTCTGCTTCTTGTAGACATCCTCATTCAAAAATAGCTCATATTTGTTTGATTAGAGTGTGTAAAGGAAACTATAGTAATTCAGTTTTAGGTCTTAGGTCACTAAAACAAATGCAGTAAGATGCTTAAACTCTTAAACTATGGATTCTCAAAGCTTGAATGAATTGAGTGTCATTTGAGTAAAACGAGAGAAAATGTACACATTGAAAGTCTCAGTGGCATTTGTAATAGTAGTTTAAGGTTTTGTTCAAGTATTGTTGCTATGGTGACTAATGGAGATAAACATGAATGAGAAATCCTCCCTTGATCTCACTCAAAGCTGTCATAGAAAATGTAAAGTAGTGCATTCTTTCATTCATGCTTGCACTAAAAATGAACAAAAGCTGCACTTTGAGAACTTAAAGTGGAACTTAGTCCCCATTTTTGTTTTCATAGGAACACTAAAAAAGAGTCAGAACTGGGGGGAGCCTTGCAGAGGCTCAAAGACCTGGAGGCTCTGCTTAATTCGAAGGATGCTTCCTTGACTACGGCTCTTGGAGAAAAGCGTAACCTCGAGGTGGAAAACAGGGACCTGAAGGCGCAGGTTGCCAAGGTAAAGTCAAACCCACGCTCAATTTAAAACTCAATAGAAACACATCTGGGCTCAATCTTTCTGCAGTCAGTCTACAAGCTCAGAACCTCTCTGTTTGTCCTTCATAGTCCTCCTCTCTTTCTTCCAAGTTTTGTTAGTAAATGTCAGCTAATTCAGATTTCAGCAGGGGTTGAAGGACAGCCTCTCTGCATGTTTTCCTGCCCGCATACTCCACTGACTGCTTATTTTCCACTCCGCAGCATTACTTTGTACTCATACTCGGCCCATTTTGTGCTTCTTTTTTAGTTGGATACCAGCTTGGCCGATGCCAAGAAGAAGCTGCAGGATGAGATGCTGAGGAGGGTGGATGGAGAGAATCGCATCCAGACTCTGAAAGAGGAGCTGGAATTTCAGAAGAACCTCCACTCTGAGGTCTGAGCGCTTTTTGCATATGTTCTTATCATTAGTTAATCATTTTAAAAAGTACCCATGCTGGACTTTACTGATAATCATTGCTGGTAAATTTTCAATAGGAGCTGCGGGAGATAAAGAGGCGTCATGAGTCCCGCATGGTTGAACTGGATAATGGCCACCAGCAGGAGTTTGAATGCAAACTGGCCGAGGCACTGGCGGATATGCGCAACCAGCATGAGCTGCAGATTAAAATGTACAAGGATGAGATCGAGAAGACCTACAACACCAAGGTAGACCATCAAGTTACTGTTACTAAAGGTTTACTTTGCAGCATTTATGTCTTCTGTTTTGGTCCTCAGTGGTGAAAGAAAGCTGCACTGAATAATTGCGCAGCAGAAATATCCAGTTAAAACATCGTGACATGGTTGTGTAGTTCCGAGTTGTTGGGCTTTCGCAGTTTCACAAATGTCTTGTATAATTTGGTTACAGTCCATGTTTTATCTCCCTCCATCAGCTGGAGAGTGCTCGTCAGTCAGCAGACAGGAGCAGCCACCTGGTTGGGGCAGCACACGAGGAGCTCCAGCAGATCCGAGTACGCCTGGAGTCCACGTCGACTCAGCTCAGCCAGCTACAGAAACAGGTTCTTACAAATAATCAGCACACACTTATCTGCAAGCATACATCACTTAAAGAAAAGGGTGATATTTTTCATATTTCAGAGCAGGGGTGCAAAACATAAGACACAATCGACCCGCCAAAGCTGTAGAAAATGTAAAGAAGCGCATAGATTTTGAATTTTTAACTGCAGTTTCATAGGTTTTACAGATGTTCCTGATAATAAAGATTGCCCACTTTCATGCTAAATCAAAGTAATTAAGCAACTAAATGACAAGAAAGTTTGTTTTTCAAATATCGAGTCCATAGTAAAAAGAACAACAAAAACTTTATATTTTATCATTTCAGAACAGTCTGTGGAAAAAAGTAACATAAATTATTCTGTAGTTTTGCGTATTTATCATGTAGTTTCACTGGTCCGGCCAATTCAATATCACCTAAGATCAAAGTGGGGTGTATGTGACTCACTATGTAAAATCAGTTTGACATCCATGTTTTAAAGTAAAAACAGACCCCAACAGAAATCAATTTAATTTAAAACAGAAGTTGTTTTTATAGATTCACATGAATTAGGCTCTTCAAATTGATGCTGGCTGTAAACTCCATTTATTTGTTTAAAAGTTCAGTTTTTCATGGTTTCTCTAGATTTCCTTTGTTTTTTGAGCTCAATTATTAACTCACTCCTTGATTGCTCTTGAGGTCTCCAGACTTGCTTGTTTGATCCTATCAGGCAGTAACTTTGTGACTCTTTGGTTTGATCCAGCTGGCAGCTCGTGAGGCAAAGATCAGGGACCTCGAGGATGCTCTGTCGCGGGAGCGGGACAGCACGCGTCGCCTTCTGGGTGAGAAGGATCGAGAGATGGCAGAGATGAGGCACCAGATGCAGCAGCAGCTCGATGAGTATCAGGAACTCCTCGACGTTAAGCTGGCCCTGGACATGGAGATATGCGCCTACAGGAAGCTGCTGGAGGGAGAAGAGCAAAGGTATGTGTAACGACGCTCATCGTTTCCTCTGTGTGGTTCATAAACTTTTTCATTTATCTCATCATCGTCATCAACATGTTTCTCTCTGCAGACTGCGTCTTTCGCCCAGCCCTCCTCCTACCAGGGCGGCGGGAAGTCGATCCTCTACTTCTGGAGCTCTCTCTCGATCTATCCACCACAGCGCTCAGAACTCCCCTGCTAAGAGACGTCGCCCTAACGACACCGACAGCGAGGCCTCCAGCTTCGCCGGTGGAGCCGTTTCCCGCACTCGCATCACCCAGCAGGCTTCGGCCAGTGGACGTGTCACTGTGGACGAGGTGGATCTGGATGGGAAATATGTCAGACTCAGCAACAAAGCTGATGAGGTGAGATGGAGAAGTTGGAGGTGGACTGACTACATTACTATTTGTAATGTAGTGACTTTGAACTCTGACGTTTTTACCCAACTACCCTCTTGCTCTTGTAGGATCAGAATCTGGGGAACTGGCAGGTGAAGCGGCAGGTGGGATCTGGCACTCCCATCGCCTTCAAGTTCCCAGCTAAATTCACCTTGAAGGCTGGTCAGAGGGTGACGGTTAGTAGCGTCTTTATTCAGCAATCAGAATCACCAATCAACACCTGATTAGCACAGATGATTTACTCTGTACTGTCCATGTGGTCAGATCTGGGCCTCTAATTCTGGTGGAACTCATAATCCTCCATCTGACCTGGTGTGGAAGAATCAGCCCTCCTGGGGCACCGGAGACCTCTTCCAGACTACTTTGATCAGCACTAATGGAGAGGTATTTTGAATTAAATCAGCTTATTGGGCTTGATAGACATTTCATTCAGACCTAAAGTGTCAAGACATCAAAACTCATGGCCAGTATATTTAAAATATACCGAAACTGAATGAATAAATAAAAACTACAACACTTTTCTTTCAGGAAATGGCAATGAGGAAGGTCACCCGCACTCACCTTGAAGAAGAAGATGATGACATGGTGAGAGAAATGATAGTTTTCCTAGCATGTGCATAATGAGATCATGTGCAGGACCAGAATCCAATTAGCAGCATCCACTGGTTTTGCATTGAATTAAAATAAGAATCACATTAATTCAGATATTAACATTTCAAATGGATCCGTATCACTGTGTGGGGGCGGTAACATTGAAACTGAGCATTACGTGTTGCATGATAAGGTGATGGTTGGTAAGTAAAATAAAGATATTTAAAAGGATATATGTGTTTTTAGTTAGGTGAAGCAAGGACACATGTGCGTGTGCAAATGAAGAAATACAGCAAAATCTCACACAGTTGCAGCTCCCAATGGATATTTTACATTCTTACTAGAAAAATGATTATCAGTAGTGAAGAATAGTTGCAAACACACATATTTCATCAACTGTTTACGCAACTCAATGTTAACTGTTAAAAGAGACAATTTAAAAAAAACAAAAAAACAGTTCACTTATTGTTTTTAGGCTCTTGTTCATTGTATCAGGGCTACAAAAATACAGGAGACAAAGGCGGTTTAATAACAAAAGCTGTTACAAAACCAGTCCTCCCATAGATACAGACTATTTACACACACAGGACTGAGTAGATGCTCATTAAACAAATAAGGGTGGGGCAGGCAGTCACAAAGGAGTGTCAGAGGTGGGGGGGAAGAGACAAAGACAGGAAGTCAATCCCAAGAGACACAAAGAAAATCACATACCAAAATAAGACAGGAAATGGAAACAAGAAAGACAAAACAGAGACCAAAACATTAGGAAAATATCAGTGAGAAGGAATGAAAATTAAATAAGCACAGACACCACGACACATACTTGATCTTTATTACCACTGCAGGGTTTTGTTTTGTTTTTAACACACACTAATTAAAAGCTTTGTCTGTGCCTCAGCAGGTGGCTCACAGCACCTGTGGGGACGGCGAGTACAACCTGCGGAGCCGGACGGTCGTGTGCGGCTCATGCGGACTTCCTTCAGATAAATCCAGCAACTGCTCCGTGTCCTCTGCTTCCCGCTCCTTCCGCAGCGGAGGCATCTCCGAGGGTTTACTGCCCCACTCCTACGTGTTCAGCACGAGCACACCTCGCAAGGTGAGTACCGCAGCTCATACAGGAGATATATGACTTCCCTTTCATGCAAAGATTACCTCTTTTTTGTCTATTAATATGCATGTGTGATAATTCTAATTTTGTTAAAATTTCTTCCTAGACTGGAGGCAGAATGGAGAGCTGTCCAATCATGTGAAGCCCTGGGGCCACTACACTACATTTTCTATAGCTTCTTAGGTATCAGTTGTTGAGTTATCTGGTATAGTTTTTAGTTCAGTTTATGTACTTTCAATTTAATTTCAAGTTATTGAATGCCAGAAAATTTTATACTGCTTTTTATAATGTACATATGCATGAATAAGAATAATTTTCCAGAGCCTAAAGGTTAATTGGGGTTAGCTTTGTTTGTTTTTTTATATTAGGGACATTTAAGGTTGGAAAATGTAAAACAGTTACTTTAACATTCATTCGTTTTAAAAACTTAATTCAAATTAATTTCATTATACTCTATAGACACTCTGACACAGCGGGGTTGTGATCAGTTTACAATTTTACCAAAATTGAAAACTTTTTTTTTCTCATTAAATCTTCTTACATGGTGAAGGTAAAATGAACCCAACCTTGCTACAGATCTACAGAATATTGTCGGGTTTTTTTTTTTTATTAAAATGAATAAACGTGTTTTCAGAAACCTGCCTTTTTTCTGTGTCTTTCTATTTACTCAGTTTCTTACAATATTTACTGCCTCACCATAGAATCTAATACAGGGGTGGGCAATTCCAGCCTCTAATAATTCCTCTATTAGGACACAGTCAGGTGTTGCTATATAGTTCATCTGTTTGAACGAGGCCAAGAGTTTTATTGATTTAATAAAAATCAATAATTAAAAAAAAAAGTTTCATTCAAATGAAGAAAAATATGACATTTGTATTCAGGCTCACAATTACATGATAACAATAATATAAAAGAACAGATTATAACTGTTCAGTATTCATACTCGTCCACGGTATTATAAAACTATAGGTGCATTTATTTCACCACCTCTTGAACTTTACTTGAGTATTTCATTTATATTTTTTGTACCTTTTCTCCGCTATTTAGAAGGAATTCCTGCTTCTTGAAATTACAAAAAATAAATAAAAATATTTTCAAAATCAAATCGTTCATATATATAATGAACATTCCAAATCATAAATGAAGTTTCTGCTCATAGACCTTCTGTTTTTATAAAGAATTATTTACTGGAATATCTTTAATGGAAATGTTTTTGAACATTTGTGCTTTACTAGTTATAATTAAATTAAGGATATAAAAAAGAATGTATAAAATGGGCTTATATCGTGTGTCACATGGGTCTGATTCTATATAGCTGGCATATAGGGATTCTACTTCATTTATATATAGTAAGGGTTACGCATATTTTCTCATTTTAATTAGAAAAGTGTGTCTTTTACTGCAGTCTCTCCGACTGAGAGCAGGCTTTTATTTTGGAATCCTGGTTTTCAGGTCGCTTTCAAACCCGGAAGTAGCCTACAAGGTCAGGGTGCAAGTGTTGCTCTTGCACAGCGTCAAAGTTCCAAAACTAAGAGCTCTGTGGTTTAAAAGGACAAAACTGCATGTGAAGCTGTCTGCAAGAAAAAGGGTGTTAAAATTTGGTGAGTGTCGCTAATGTTTTGACACGAAGTGGAGCAAATGCTACACGTTAGCTAGCAAGTCAGAGCTAGATAACAGTGAAGTGGACATGAGAGTGCTCCTACTGTAGCCCTGCGACATTAATGTGTACACAGTAATATCCACATAACCGTGTAATGCAGATTAAAAAAAAAAATACAAATGCTAATAAACATTTACAAATATTAGTCGCGTTGATCTGAACATAAATCGAACTGGATGTTAGCAAGTGAAATCTGTTTCACTTCAGTGTTCATAGTTCAGACACTTTTTATTTCTGTGCAGTCATGTGGATTAATAAGTAAACCCTGACTGCTTTCATTGTAATTAAGAGGGTATGTAGCAGTAAGGTGCTGCTAATCACGATTAATTGATCATGAGCACCTCTGTAAAAGCACAAGTGTAGGCACTTTTGCTGGTCTGCAACATTCAGGTGTGTCAACACAGTACCACAAACTTCCCAGCAAATTCACCAAAAGATCGATCTGTGCAATGAACTGTTAGAGAAAGATTAAACAAGTCTGGCTCGTTTGGAAGGAGTGTTTTGCAGACACAGGATGTGGTCACCTTACAGTCACCAGGTTGACTGTCTGCACCAGTTCATATTTGATTCAACTGTTCTTTAATCTGTCTGACAGCTAAAGCCTGACCCAAATTCAGTCATGCAACAGGACAGTGATGTCTAGCACAGCAGCAAATTTGTGAAAAAGAAAAGAATCAAGGTGTTACAATGGCCAGGTGAAAGACCTCAGCATGATTAAAATGCAGCAGGCTCTTAAGAAAGCTGTGCATTAATAAATACCTGCAAACCTCAAGGAACCGAAGCAATGTTATAAAGAAGAGTAGGACAAAATTCCCCCTTAGTGATGTTAGAGGCTGATAAACTCATACAGGAAATGATTGCTGCTAAAGGTAGTGCTACAAGCTGCTGAATCATGGGCTGTAATTAGTTTTTCACAGGATTGCAGAGATTCCTGTGATAATGTTCCTTTTCACATAATTTTAGCGATACAGATAATAGTTTTCTCTGTATTGATTATTAGTGTATTTACATAAAATAAGTTACTTGTAATCTATTTACATTTGTTTTTATTATTGTTATTCTTATTTTTTTTAATGCTGCAGTGGTCTAATTCAAGATGATTTTCTCCTGTGGGAGGAAATAAAGCAGTCAGATCTGTAAATATTACTGCACTTAGATTATTTTTTTGTTTTGATGGTTACACAGAAAATACACTCAGTTTATCTTTACTGTATTAGTTTTGTAATAACACAGTATCATTTTAGTTCATTTTTGTTGTGGAATTTTGTTTTTTAAATGCCTAGTATGGGTTTTTTTATTTAGTTTTAATCAACCATGTTCTGGTGTTGCACAGACTGTGAGAGTGGGGTGTCTCACCTCTTTCTTTAACGCATACTAAGCAGCAACGCAGACGAAGGGAATGACTGATTCTAAGTTTGCAGTCTGCAGGTGTGAGCAAATAAAAGCAAGGAAACAGCGAAAGGAGTGAAACCTGCGTCATCAGCAGACTGAACATTGCTCACTGTGGTCTTTTCTTAAATTTCCTCAGGAGCTTGTATCATCTGGATGTTGAGCGTTCGAGCTCTGTTTGGGATCGGCTTCCTGGTGACCTCACGAGCCGCGACAGCCCTCGCTCAGGCAGGGACATGCCCGTTGCCCGCTGCAGCTAACAGCCACAGAAAGGACTGTTTCAGCAGCACACCAGCGTCCACCATGGCCCAGGCCATCAAATATCTCGGGTGAAGGTTTTAACCTTTTCACACATAAGAGTAAAACCAGACTTCATGAGCCTAGACTGACCTGTAAATACTTCACAGGCAGGAGGAGGCCCAGCACATCGACGAGGAGCTCTTCAGTGAGTACGGCTTCAGTGTGGATCAACTGATGGAGCTGGCTGGACTCAGCTGTGCCACAGCCGTCACACGGGTGAGCGTCACCGTGGGCTCTTATTTTTGAAATGCAAATCTAACGGGAGGAATATTAGTCACTGGACTGGCAACAAACTCTTTTATAATGTAAAATAATTATTTCAGGAACTAATGTGAGACCTCTACCTATTCCAGCTGCTCAAAAATGAGTTTGGTGTCTTTAGGGTTTGAAGAAAGAAACAAGGGTCGAAAGTGGGGTGTAGAAATATTTTCACTTTTTTCTTCTATTCTATGGTTGAGCCACTTAATCCAGTTACAAAAATAAAAGTTTAAACATTGATGTAAATAGACAGCTACCAACCAGTTACGCAAAAATCGTGTGATGAATTTCCCCCAAAACTCTGATCTAATCTTACTCGTCAGCCTTTATTTTTCTGTAGTCAGACTAAAGTAACATTACACTTGATGACGTTATAGTAATGTTGAAACATTCGTCTTTTTGCACAATCAAAGTCTGAAATATTTTCAACTGCACTTTTAAGTTTGCTGTTGTGGAATTGAGATGCACTTGATACAACTGCATTTTGCTCGAAGGTGCAGGAAGAAGCTTTACTTGGTTTGCGTAACTAACACAGAACGGGCCCTTAACCTCCTAAGACCCAAACTCTTCCATGACATGCATTTTTAATTTCTCTTTGATATTTGGGCTGATTGTGACCCAATGAATGTAAAAACAAAGAATTGCCATATTTTTTACCTGATTTTTGTTTCTGAGAAAAATTAGAGCCACATATGAGGATATTTGTCTAAAATTTCGATAGAACAGTGGCAGTATAATGTCCTCGTAAGTGGATATCAGGCCCTTGTAGAGCAAAATTTAGGATTTTGGTCTAAACAACCCAAAATGTGATGTCCACATATGTGGACGCCAGGTCCTAGGAGGTTAAATATATCAAAGTTTATTTTGCTTTCTTCTTTTCCTTCAGGCATATCCACTTACTTCTCTGGTGAAAGCCAGACCTTCTCTGCTAGTGATTTGTGGACCAGGTAACAACGGGGGCGATGGCCTGGTCTGTGCCCGGCATCTGAAACTCTTTGTGAGTGTCTCTCAATTTCACAGAAGAGGAAAGTAAACCATTTATTTTCACATCCTCGTTCAGCCTTAAAATCCTAAATTCCTTTTTCCTCGTTAGTACTTTGTGTGTCTGATTTCAGGGTTACGAGCCGACCATCCTGTACCCAAAGAGGCCAAACAAGCCGCTGTTCCAAGGCCTAACCACACAGTGCCAGAAAATGGAGATCCCCTTCCTGACTGAGATGCCTGAGGTTTGGTGTTAATAAAATATGTAGCTGCAGCTTTATCCAATGTAAACACACAGACACACTGCTTATTGTTTTCTGACTGTGCATTTTGTATGAAGCTGTACAAATGCTCTGTTACACATGAACAGAGCTAATGTAATTAGGCTCCAGTTTAAATTAGCTGTCTAAATGATACTGAGGGGATAATAGCTCTGTTTTTATTACAGCAAACTAGATAGTGAATAATTTCATTGGTAGCTAAGAGGAGCTTTAGTTGATGGATTTACTCACTGAAATAAATGTGCTTTCAAGCTATTGATTAATTCCTTTGAAACTAACTTATCTGGGTAAAACTGTCTCCTCAGGCCAAAGCGATTGATGAAGCATACAACCTGGTGATAGACGCCATCTTTGGCTTCAGCTTCAAGGGAGCTGTGCGAGAGCCCTTTGGCTCCATCTTGGACACACTGAAAAAGTCCACAGTGCCCACAGCCAGCATCGACATCCCCTCAGGTCAGTCCTCACCAGTCCTTGGGTGACATTACTTTGTGAAGTAACTGGTTACAATACAAAATTACTGCCATTAAAAAGTAATCAATAAGGCATGCACCAGTATAGTGGGGCAGGGGTTAGCACATCACCATGAAGATGTGAATGTGAAGTGCTGTTTTTCTTTGTTAGCCATGCTGACAGACTGCTAACCCTTCAACGATATAACCCGCCTCCCAGCTCATGGCAGCTGGGGAAAGCTCCATGTCGCCACAACCTTGAATTGAAATGTCTCTTATAAAAATGGATGTATTAACTTTTGCTAGCATTACCTCTTAAACTAAACCCAATGTATAGCCAGCTTTTAGCTGAAAAACATGTGGTTTTGCAGTCCTCCTCGCTGCAGTACGGCTTGCCAGCAATGTTGTGGAGTTCTGCTTATTGTCAGTGAGGATTTATTAAACTGCAGTGCATCTGTCAACAGTCTGGAATGATTATAATCAATAACTGCATGAAGCCTGCTGCATGTCCGCGCTCCCAAACAGAGGATATTGATTTGGGTCTAACAACTGTCGCTAACAGACATACTGCAGATTATCTCAGGAAACAGAAATTTCAGCTGGTTAGTGACAGCCTTTTTTTGTTTGTTTTCATGTTAAAGGTTGGGATGTGGAGCAGGGTAGCACAGATGGACTCCAGCCTGACATGCTCATCTCTCTCACTGCACCAAAGAAATCCGCCTCCCTGTTTAAAGGACGATATCACTTCTTGGGAGGCAGATTTGTGCCACCTGGCTTGGAGAAGAAATATCAACTCAACCTGCCCCAGTACCCCGGCACAGACTGTGTTTTGCAACTCTAAGAGATGTGGGCCATCACTGAAGGGAAATAAGCTGTCACTGGCGTTATAAAGCAATCAGCTTAGCTCAGCATAAAGGCTGTAAACTGGGTGAAACAGCCAGCAGCGTGACATCCGTTCACTCATTAACACGTCTTGTTTGTTGATTTTAAGAGAGCTTATGTGACATAATCGTATGCTGTCATCACACCTGCAGCACAATGGCAGCATCAGCTAAAGTAAATATGAAAATAAAAAAATTCTTTCTCTGACAAACTGACAAACTTTTTAAAGTTCATATATTCTGCTTTTCCCAAATTTTTTTTTTTTACATATACGTACACGTATATACGTGATGGGAGAAGGGAGCGGGAGATCGACAGACTGATTGGTGCAGCGGCTGCAGTGATGCGGACGCTGTACCGGTCTGTTGTGGTGAAGACAGAGCTGAGTGTAAAAGCGAAGCTTTCAATCTACCGGTCGATCTACGTCCCTACCCTCACCTATGGTCACGAGCTGTGGGTAGTGACCGAAAGAACGAGATTGCGAATACAAGCGGTGGAAATGAGCTTCCTCCAAAGGGTGGCTGGCCTCTCCCTTAGAGATGGGGTGAGAAGTTCGGCCATCCGGGAGGGGCTCAGAGTAGAGCCGCTGCTCCTCCACATTGAAAGGAGCCAGCTGAGGTGGTTCGGGCATCTGACAAGGATGCTCACTGGGCGCCTCCTGGGTAAGGTTTTCTTGGCATGTTTCACCAGGAGGAGGCCCGGGGCAGACCCAGGACACGCTGGAGAGATTATATCTTGGCCGGCCTGGAACGCCTTGGTGTTCCCCTGGATAAGCTGGAGGAGGTGGCTGGGGAGAGGGAGGTCTGGGCTTCTCTGCTTGGGCTGCTGCCCTCGCAACCCAGCCCCGGATAAGCGGAAGAAAATGGATGGCTGGATGCATATACGTACACTCACCAGTCATTTCATTAGGTACAGCATGCTAATAATGGGTTAGGCCCTCTTTACCTTCAGAACTGCTTCAATTCTCTGTGGCATAGACTCAAAAAGGTGCTGGAAACATCCCTCAGAGATTTTGGTGCATTGACATGAAACAATCTGCCGTACTGCTCCTAGATCTGGTGACTGGAGGTAATTTGAGTGGACTGAATTCAGTATCATCTAAGAAACAAGCTGGAGATTATTTAAACTGTGTGACGTGGAGTATCATCCCCCTGGAAGCAGACATCAGAAGATGGACACACTGTGGTCATAAAGGGATAGCCATGGTCAGCAGCAATTAAGCAATGCTCAGTTGGTATTAAGGAGGCCAAAGCGTACCAAGAAAATATCCCCTGCACCGTTACACCATCACCAGCAGCTTAACCACTCACGAGGCAGGATGGGTCCATACTTTCATGTTTATGCCAAATTCTGACCCTGTCATCCAAATGTTGCAGCAGAAACTGAGACGCATCAGATCAGACCATGTTTTTCTAATTGTAGCCTCGGTTTCCTGTTCTTAGGTTTTTTGATTTGATTTGATTTGATTGATTAGCATTCAAATTCAAATCTCAGTGAAAACAGTGAAAAAACAAACAAACAGTGAAAACAGAACAGAAATCTACCATAAAGAAAGAAAGCATGAGACAAGGCTAATCAAAAGGTATTGGCAGAAGCATTTGCTTATTACTCCAACCCTTTTCACAAAATATCTTTTTGTATGCAGCTCCTGTACACAGGGCTTGAAGAAAATAATAAAACAAAGCAAAAACCAAACCAAACAAACAAACAAACAAACAAAAACAAAGAAAGAAAAAACTTTCCACCTTAGATAAGTAACTACATCAAAGCAAAAGAATCAAGAGGTTGTTTTTTTTTTTCTCCTTTTTGCTCTTTTCATTCTTGATTTATATATTTTTCTAATACTCTATTTTTAAACATGTTTTTAAACAAGGAAAATGAACTACACCTTTTTAAATCACTGTCATAACTATTCCACAGGTTAACTCCTCTAACAGAAACACATCTCTGCTTTATATTTGTCCTCATCTTGTTTTTCTTAAAGGTGAGTGTCATATAGTGTGGTGTGCTGCTACTGGAATCAACAAGGCGTTTTCAGCCAGAGAACTGCTGCTCACTGGGTATTTTCTCTTATTTGGACAATTTTCAGACTGCAAATCCAAGAGATGTTTGTGTGGGGGAAAATTCCAGTATATCAGCAGTTTATGAACTACTTACACTGCTCCCCCTGGCACCAGTAACTTTCAAAATAAATCACTGGTTTCTAAATATGGTTACAAAAGTGGACTCTCATATTAGACAGGTCCAGTAGAAGAATAAAAAAAAAAAAAAAGTTGTTTTGAACATTAAAAATGGAGCTGGAGCTGAGCAGACCTCACTTGAAATCTTCATCATAATCATCAATCATAATATCCAAGCACGACAATTTTCAACCACGTTTTCTCCATTTTTATTAATACATCTTTATTATTGACTGAATCTATAACTAGCAGTTAATTTAGAAATACAGTCTATTGTAGCCCATCACATTCTATTTTAGAAATCACTTACACATATGGTGTTTTTTATACATTATGTGGTGATGATTTAGTAAAAAGCTTTCTTGGACAGTTAGCCTCATGGACTCTCTACAACACCACTCATATTAAATGCATGACTACATATACTTAAAGACAAATACTGAACGTACAGTATATGCTTCAGACAATGTGGTTCATTAATGCATAATGGTTTCTCATATAAGTGCAGAACATGCTTTTTGTGCACAGGGTACTATATACAGTGCTGGTACCATGCTCTCCTAGTGTGTTGTCCTTTGTTCGGTTTGTTAAGAAGGTAAAATAGAGGTTTGAGACGAAGAGTTTTTCCCTCAGGTTGTCATCGTGCAGGTCGTTAAGTGGAAGGATGTTTTCAGTCCATGAAGAAAGCCTGAGGACAAAGACGGCTCACGTAAATGGAAGTGCTGGCGCAGAATCAAAGCGACTGAGCTTGTAGAAAATCCAGTTTATCTCTAACTAATCCAACCTCTACAGCCACATTTAAATAATTAAAATGATCTCACAGCTGTTTTCCATTAGTTTCAGCTTTGCACACCTAATCAGTGACAACATATCTGTGTTAGATGGTGCCATAAATAATGCTTTTACACTTTATTAGAGAAAACAAATCAGTTTTATATTTAGTAATGAGGTTTGGAGTACATGGTGGTGTAGCCTTTTGGACTCCAATAATACTTAATTCCTAATATTTCACAAAGGTTTATTATCGTGTCCTTAGGGGTAGATCATCTGCATCCATCTCCTCCTCTGTCACAACAACCCTCTGCATGTCCTCCTTCACTACATCATGAATCTTCTCTGCAGTCTTCCTCTTTTCTTCCTGACTTGCATCTTCAACATCCTTTGTCAGATATATCCACCTTCCCTCCTCTGCATATGTCAGCCTTTCCTTTCTAACTTTGGCTCCAAACTGCCCTACCTGAGCTGTCCCTCTGATGCAGTGGTCTCTAATCCTGTCTATTCTGGTCACTACCAGTGAAAATGTTAGCATCTTCTTTTTGTTAGTACCACCATCTCCAAAACATGCATCACAGCAGGTCTCACTACCATCTTGTACATTTTCTCTTTCACTCTTGCTTCTATCCTTCTGCCAGAAATCACCCCTAACACTTGCCTCCACCCACTTCATCCTGCCTACACTCGCTTCTTCATCTCTCTTGTACATTGTCTTTTGCTTTGGATGGTTGAGCCCAGGTATTTAAATTCATCTACTTTCACTACCTTTGCCCCTTGCATGTTCACCTCTCCAACTGTGTCCCCCCCCTTGCACACACATGTATTGTGCCTTGCTTCTACTGCGTTTCATACATACCCATACCCCCACCTCTCCATGCTCTCTTCCACCTGCTCCCTATTCTCACTACCAATCACAGCGTCATCTGCAAACATCAGAGTTCCTCCTACCTGACCTCATCTGTCAATCTGTCCAGCACTACTGCAATCAAGAACAGGCTCAAAACCGATCCCTGATGTAATCCCACCCTTACCTTGAACCAACTGTCACTCCAGCTGCACACCTCACCCCACTAAAATATATTTTCTCTAGATCCACTATGAATGATTGAAGTACAGACTTTTACCTTTAAATTAAGGAATGTTATAAAAAATAGTGGATTAACTGCTTAGGAATTACAGTGACTTTTTCACACAGTCCCTCATGTGTGGGTGTTAGTCTGACGTCTAAAACCCACACATTTTCACCTAACTGAAGGTACAGTATTTGTATCACACAATTAGCAAAGCTGGTCCCACTTTAACACTTTAGCTGTGAAAAAATATAGTTGAGCAGAAATTCAAGGGATCCACCTTTCTAACCTGTCATTAATTTCCCTCAAAAATATACTTTAGTGCAAGAACTCAGTATTTAAATCTACAAAGTTTATTTTGCACTTTCTAGTAAATGTTAAGTTAGCAGCCTAATAGCCTAGCTTAGCTTCATGGACATCCATAGAACAATTTTGCTATATCCATAGAAAAGTGCAAAAATGACCCTTAATGACCTTTACATAATGTTTTCAATAAAAGTACACAGTCTAGAAATAACAAAACTTTCACCATAATAATACAATCAGAAAATTGCTAGACTAGATAATAAGTAAAGAGCAATTTTTTCTTTTATATTTTATACTTGACGTCGTTATTGTTGCTACAGGGACACAGTTTACATAGATCAAACATGATGTTTGAAACAAAGCCGTGGTTAGGAGTGGTCAGCTGACAGGGTTTAATGACATTTATGTAGTGTTTCTAATCATTCTAAAATACATTGTAACAGTAGGTATCTTTTATGGAAAGATGACATCCATTTTCATTAAATGATCACAACGTACCTGTGCTATTCTCCGACTTGTACCCCTGCACAGTTATCTTTACTTTCCGAGGCTATCGCTAAATATTCAGCATTTCTGGAAAGGAAAAAAAGAAAATCATTTTCAGTAATCATCTGCAATGTTTTCTTTTATCACAATGACATGGGTTAAAAAATGCAAAAATAAAAAGATACAGGTTTGATTTTCTTTTCGACTTACAGGAGGAAGGTTTTGGTTTTGACTAGGGAGGAGGATGGCAGGATGAAAACACGACAAGGCGACAAGAGGGAACGGGACAAAGACACACAAGTGAACGCACACAAACACGATGGAGACAGCGACAGTCTTATAGTAAAGGAAACAATGATATAGCAGGCAAAGGCAAAAGTTAAAATTATAGGTGTGATTATAGCAGGACAATAAACAATGACATGACTCATGGGGAAATACACACTTTTCACAACTTCCGACTCACACCAAATTTGTTTTTGAGGAAAGTACCATTCACGTCAAACACTGTAAGCCAAAATAACACCTAATAAACAAGTATCAATGAGAAGGAAACCGCAACTGCTTTCACATATCTCTTATCATTTCTGCATATAAATTTGTCTCTTTGGCAGTCTGCCAAACCATATCCCTCTTCTGTGATTCTTCTCCTTTTGCACACCGAGGAAAGTTAACTTCTTAACATGCAACAGGTCATGAGTTAAAATGAGCATTTAGGGTTGAGTTTGGGTTGGGTTAACATCCACCTTTTTATGATGTCATTTTCTCCTGTTTGGATTCAGGAGACAAATACCCTCTCAACTCCAAAGAATGCTCTCATTTATTTTATAAAGCTTATAGTTAGGGCTGGATCAGGTGACTGAATGATCCCTTAGGTATGCTGCTTCAGGCTGCTGGGACACTTCCCATGAGGCACTGAGCAGTTCTTCCCACTCTCCTGGATGTGCTTATATGCAACTACTGCAACCTTTGTCTACTTCCTCCCATACTTTGTGTCTGCTCGTGGTCTCTCTCTGCTTTCCTTTTCTTTCTTCCTTTTACCCTCATCTCTCAACCATTCAGGCCAGGTTGCTGCCCTCCCACAGCTTGGTTCTGCCGGAAGGTTCTTCTTGTTAAAAGGTAGTTCTTACTCACAGTGGATCCTCTGATTTTTTGTGGGTTCTCTCTATAACGATGTGCAGTCTTTACCTTGCAATAAAAGAACATAATCTGTGGATTTTGTTGGGTTTTTCCTTCGGTAAGGATTTCTTAGTTTATCGTTGAGGTTTTTTGTAATTATAGCAAAAATGTAACGGATGTGTTGATTACTTCTAGGTTCTATTTCATCTCAAGATTCTCATTTAGTGTTTTAGTTCTTCTTACTTTTGAAATCAGTTTTTCTTCAACGTTTAGAATACCCCTATACTTGATTTGATTTGGTTTGGTCTGGTCTCTCTGATGTCTTCTTGAATTTTGTTGTCAAGTGTTTCTCTTTTCCTTGGTTTCCCCATTTGGGTACTTCCTGTTTTATTTTGTTGCTTTTCGGTCTCTTGTACATTATCATTAATATTATTTCCTTTCTTATTGTCTTAATTAGTTTCAGCTGTGCCCTGTTAATCTAGTGTTTCCACTTTTCCTGATTGCTTCCTGTGCCCATTTAATGCCTCAGTTTCTATCAGTTTTTTGTTCAGTTACACTCTAACCCTGCTGCCCTCTTTAGCTTTATGTCATGTTTCTGTTTCTTTAATTTTCCACATTGTCTCAATAATGTTTTAGGTTTTTTTCTGTTTAATTAGTCCATCTCTAAAAGCTGTATTTGGTTCGGCCTGAAATCTGTGACATTTAAAGCACCTTGAGGTGACTGTTAGTGTGAACTACAATTATTTTAATTTAATTTTTGCCTAATTGGAACACCTAAAATGTTTTTACCCAACCTGCAGATGCAAAATTCTGGAATCCCTAGCTTACACTCACACAGTGTTTACTTCCTTCAGCTGGAGACCTAAAATTTTCTTTCATTTGCACCTCTGAGTGAGTTTATAATGCTGGTGTGACCGGGCCTTAACCCAAATTTGTCTTTCATCAATATCTACAAATATGCATGCCAATAAGTGCCAGAAAATAAGGAGTCTCAGATATGTTTGTTTCCTTTTCAACTGTAAAATGACTTAATTACACATCTTGGTCCACAATAGCAACGCGTGACTCATTTTATTTTGAGCTACAAACTAATATTGGCCAACATATCTGCATCCAGTTCATAACTGCACTCAGAAACACTTTTATAAGCCTTTAACATATAAGCACATCTTGTATATCTTTTCAAGCTGAATCTTGAAATGAAAAGGCTCAACTGTATATACAAGATTCTGACATGCATTAAGTCAGCATGCATTTAGGTGTAAGAGAAAAATACTTACGCCGCTTCTCGTAATGCTTCTTCTCCAGCTGCTGCTATCTTTCTGTAACAGTATATCATCTCTATGAGGAGCCAGAGCTGCAGGCCGATGATGGACACGTACATCATGACCTCTGACACGATGGAAGCTGTACCTCTGGTGGCTGCATACAGGAAACCAGGAAAGACGAGACAAACAAACAAAACAAAGGTGACCTGACGGGGTCGAGAAAAAGCTGAAACCACCTAAAACCTAAAGAGGAAACATCTGTTCTATCTAAAATCTTTTGTTTTCAACCACAAGAGCCACACGCATCGAAATAAAGAATTCTGTGCTTGAATAGTCTTAGTTTTTCTTGCAGAAGAATCACTTTTGTGACATTGTGCAGTCTGCCTGTGAGACACTACTGAGTTTAATCAAAATATATAATATATAATAAAATGACTTTAACAGTCTCTCATGTTCTTGCAGAGGAATTTTGGACCACTTCACAACATTGCTTCGGTTCATTACAATTTGCAGGCATTCGTTTATGCAAAGCTCTCTTAAGAGTCTAAATATTTGCAAAATATCTATTAATTAATCATAATTTGTTCCAAAGTTACAGTTAAGAGACAGTTTTCCAGACGTATTTAAAGCCTAGTCCTAGATTCAAAGGGAAATTAAATTAAGATCGCCGCAAAGTCTAAGACTAGACTTGATCCGTGTCTGGGAGACTGAACCAAAGAGCGCACAGTTATATATGCTTACTGTTATGCTGCCTGATAGTAATGCATTTATCAGGAAACATTAAATAATTCAGCTAAGCTGCTGAACTGGCAGCGTGTCAGTATCCACGATTAGACATGTTTCTTCCATCTATTGAAAACTGTAGAGAGTAAATATCAGCCACTGATGAAATAGAAGTGAAACAAAATGAATGTTGCTTCCATTTTAATCATAACAGAGACTAGGAGGCTGCTTTATTGACAGTGCCAGAATCTTCAACCTCTGAAAATGGAGGCAGGCTGCATTCTCATAATATTAAAGCTCCGTTGTTGTTCAGGGACCTCCAGGTTAATAGGAATGCACACTGCACTCACAGTGAGATTTAAAAGAGTGACGGTCTGTATTGTGTGAGTGTGAATCAGTTTGTGAAATGCTTCTGCAATGACAGAGTCTGCTTAAGTCTAATTAAGGCCTGAAAATGCTCAGCCATCTCCACCATTGATCGCCACATTTACACGTAAGATAAATTCATTCAAAAAAATTCAAAAAATCTAAATCTGACTGCTCAAACCACACTTTTCAACCTTATTTCAATATGCATAATATATTTTAACATTTAGCAATAAATTAGCTTTTTCTTGTTAACTGTCTTCAGATGTCTTTAAGTCTACTTGCTCAGATACTAATGACCTGTATAAAGTCGTACCTTTCCCCACCACACTGAGGTGCACCACTTTGCTGACAACGTCGTTGTACTCGTAGTTTTCGTAGGAGAGGATGCGGTTGAAAAAGCACCGGTAAGTGCCCGAGTCATTGAAGGTGACATTTAACAGGTATATGGACGCATCTTGAATGTCTCTGCTCCTTTTGCTTCCGTTCCAGTCGACACGAGCCTCAAACTGGTCACTCTCAATGGTGGGGCCATCCTCATTGTAGGTGTACATCTGGACGACACAGAGATCATTTAAGGTTGTGTTCATTACCAGTTACATATTCTTATGCAACACCTTTGCATGAGTGACGGTTAAAATTAATCTTTCATTATTTATGTTATTCTGGGCCTTGGTGTAGCCGCTCAGTTTGTTTCCCCCCTTAAAGAGAACTTATTTCTGATTGGCTGTCCCCCCCTAAACAGAAGATCGGAACAGTTGTGGGTGGAGCTTCTGTTCTCACAGCTAATACCAGGTGTCTGAGATGACTCTATTGGGATATACACACTCCATGACATCACACAGAGCCAAGGGTAGAAGAAACTGTCAGAAACAGAGCATTTGGCTCACAGGTGTTACTTTTAAAAACGCTGAAACTTTGGCGGTGTCTAATATGAACATCCACCAATGAGCTATTATGTTATTTAGGCTACGATGTATTATTATTATTATTATTATTTTGGAAATGTGTTTCATATCTCTTGAAAATCAAGGATTTAGTGTAAAAACTGTCAGTAACTCGTAAACATTTATTGCTAAATCTTTGTTAAACCCTTGAATTAGAGCAGAAAGTCTACACTTCAGCTGTACCCTGATTGTTTGATTTCAAATTGGAAGCAACAATGAAAAAAATGTCCAGGTTCATGAGTAAAAAACATACTCCATTTTTTAGATTTTCAGTTAATTGGTTAAGTAAACACACTTGACAGCTCCAAATGGATATCATGTGAGAGGAAAATACCTCGTTACCATATTGTAGATGGATGTGTTGCCTCCGATTTAAATTTGTCTACACCCCCAGTCACCCCATATGAAACACACTTTCCCCTGAAACTGTTCAGGCATATTTTTGTAAATTATAAAACGACCGTTCAGACACTACTATACTGAAATACATCCACGGCTACATTAACACAGCATGCACTGCGGCATCAAACAGAGAATCCAGCACAAGGTCAGCAGAGCTCTCTCTGACACTTTGATGACTTCAGTGGAGTAAAATGTTCCAATTGATTCCCATCTGAAGCTCATGACGGTCTCATCACTGGGTGCTATTATGTGACTGAGGACCATACTGTAGGTGTCTATGTGCGAGTAAGTGAGAGCGACAGGAAGGAGGAGAGCTTTGGTGTGCACTATATATAAGTGCATATATAAATAGCTCAAATCCTGAGAGAAGTAGCCCACAAGTTTGATTTTATGGATGCTTGCATGACTAAGACTTCCTGCTCCAAACCTCCCATATAGTCAGCAGTGCTGCTTGTTGTGTACAAAGCAGAATTTAAGGTCCAGCAGAGGTAGCGGCTTCGCTGTGTGTCATTGACATAAATGTATTTTTCAAGGGATTTTGCAGAAATTGCAACAAGCATAAATAGCACCATAGTTCTGTAAAGATATTATTAAATTGGCCAAAAAGGATTGGGTTGATTAGAATTTAGGTATTATTTTATAGATAACATCTTCATAAATCCAGTTAATTTACCAACACGAGGAGCTATTACACATACATACATCAGAAACATCAGAAATCTTTTTGGTGCAACACCGGCCCACTTCTTGACGTGTATGTCATCCAGTTCAGCGATGCACAGTGAGGATCTTGGAAGACTAAAATTTGTTTTAATCTCCATCATCAAAACTGCAATTAGGAAATGAGAGCTCTTTTCCTGAAGGATATTGCTTCTCCTTCAAATGTACTGAAATCGTTTTGTGTGATAGTAACTGGAAGAAGCTCTGGCTTTTGCAGTTATTTTCTTCTACTTTATTAACAAGGTGAAAGAAGCATCCTTTAAAGTGCTCCACTGGTTTTATCCTACCGAAAGTGTCCTTAAAAAGACTCAAACCTGACATTATGTAATCTTACATGAGTTTGTCTTTCAGTTATTTTAGCTTTACCTCTACTCCTGCCTACTGAAACAGCATGTTTACGTTTATGTAAGTGATTCCCGATTGGTTTGGAAAGATATTTTATTTGGACTCCATCAAGACAATAACGCAAACTCTTGTGAATTTCAGATTAATCTGATTTTTTTAATTCTGTGCCAAATTTCAGATTCACAAATGTAAGTTTCTAAACTGAAAACGAATGCAGTTCCACAATCATATTCCTACTGTCGTCTCCCCTGAAAATATATTGAACAGTGTTTATTTTATATAAATAAAGCAGCAAGTTACTTCTATACTTTGTTCCTTCTTCTAATAAATGTTTATTTTTTTTTAAAAAAAGATGGGAGGAAACCCAGATCTGCAGGGCCATAAATCCCACTTCATGGAAACACTCACCAGAAAAAAGTCAGCCTCCCCTTTTGGCCTGAAGTACCATTCGACGCTGGCTTCACCTCTCACCTCACTCCTTCTTTTGCAGGAGATGCAGCCCAGTTTAAAACCCTTGCCTGCTACAGCTTCAGTGTCCGAGTCCACCTCTGCACAGGCCCCGTGACACTGGTACGCTGTTTACAAGAAAAGAAGAGATGTCATCAGCCTGGGTTAACAAGGTGTCATAGCAAAACACTGCCAGGAATCCCGCCCACTCACCAAACAGCGTGCAGAGGAAGGAAAATAGCAGAAAACGTAGTAGTGCCATAACTCCAGATGTTTTATCGAAGGAGGGGCCTCAAAAAGTACAACCCTAAAATGGTTCTTGAAGCTTTCACGGAGCCTAGTGACACTCACGCACTGAGCACCTCCGAGTTTGCAATAGCAGGATGGATATTTGCAAATGTTTTCTTGTAGATTTCAGGAAGCTTATCTGTATTGTTTTTTTTTTTTTAAGTGCAGGCTGATGTCATGTGTTGGTGACAACTAGCAGCTAAACATGCATTGTAAAGTGCAAACCGTATACGCGTAAATGTAATGTCCCGTGGAACCACTCAGGTCTTTGGCTCAAGCCGGCAACAGTTTCCAGAATTCTGGTTGCAGAATTTATTGCCACAAATTATTGCTCCTTTTGAGACAGTTCCCCCAATTTACACACCCACTGGCCTCCCGCATCCACGCGGTGACCTTTTCTGCTATCAATAATCAAATAGCTTATGAAACGATCCAGATATCTGTTAACTCACAGTGCTCCCCAGATCCGCACCCTGAGGTTATGATTTTTTTTTCCTGAGGTCCTTTTAATATGAGATGCAGAGAGCAATCAGTAGACCTCCCTGGGGCATGCTCCGCTCTAAATGTTGGAAAATTACAGAGAGTATAGACGCTTACGAGGTTAAAATGAATGTGTTCAAGAGTGCAACATGCCAGCTACTGAATAAACGTCAACAATACATTTACATGCCAGTGCATTTATAATCAATTTGCATGCTCTACGGCAGGAAACAAATGGCTACCTTTTACAGGGTACACGCTACCAGTATTTAATAGAGACCAGTCTAATGGTCTAATGGTAATTATCCTTAATCGGATCAATGAAATCAGAGCCACTGTCCTGATCAGGCCTCCTCTCCTCGAGCAGAGTCGTCTCTCCTGGAAAAAATATAGAAAAATACTGTCCTCTCCTGCGATGGCAGCTATATATTTTTTGTATAATTTCAGCTATCTAATGACCCCGTGCTCGGAGAAAAGATGTTTCGTTCGCGTTGGCATTGCAGGTCAAACTGCGTGAGCGCACACGCAGGCATATAAACCAGACACGCAATTAAAAAAAACATACACACAACCCTCAAATAAATCCGTCCAGTGCTCAGTTAACGGTGTTTTTTCCTGCGCCACAGCGGCACCTCTGTTGAGAGGCTGTTGCTGCAGATGCACTGCGGTAAAAACAGCCAAGCGTGTGTGAGACAGGGCAGGTGCTGCATGTGACAGCTGTTTGAGCCTCTTCTGTACGGTTTTTTAAACTGATGCTCATTTAACCCTGCCTCAAACCTGCTGCAGGGATCCCGGTGTGCGTTGGAAGCAAATTAAATGGAAAATGATAAATAAGAAAACGAGAACAGGGCGAGATGGCCCTTTAATTTAACTCCATGTTGATTCATACAGGGCATCAGAGAGCTTCCACTTTCTGGACTTCTTGTTTTATAGGGGGCGCTAATGGGAGGTGACTCAAAAAATCCAGTTAAAATTACAGTAGGCTACAGTGAAGGAATTTTTCGTGAAATTATTTTAATGTATTTCCCAGTGTTTATTACACATTGAGTTTTACCATTAGATATTTGTGGAAACTTAAAAAAATTATAATAATTTTGATGTTTGATGTCTGTGGTCCCCACATGCTTCAAAAGATCCACCATCATCACTGTGCCCAAGAACAGCAAACCCTCATCCCTGAACGATTACCGGCCAGTTGCACTGACCTCGGTAGTAATGAAGGTGTTTGAGAGGCTGCTGAAGAACATCATCTCCTCCTCCATCCCAGACACCACAGATCCGCTGCAGTTCGCCTACAGATCCAACAGATCCACAGAGGATGCCATCGCCCACGTCCTACACACCACTCTCAGCCACGTGGACAAGAAACAGGGTAACTATGTGCGAATGCTGTTTGTTGATTACAGTTCAGCGTTTAACGCAATAGTGCCCTGCAGACTGTTCACAAAGCTCAGGGATCTGGGACTTAACAGCCGTCTGTGTGCATGGGTGTTTGACTTCCTCACTGGCAGAACTCAGGTGGTGAGGGTGGGCAGGTGCTTCTCCAACAGCATCACCATCAACACAGGAGCACCTCAGGGATGTGTCCTCTCGCCACTGCTCTACTCCCTCTACACTTCAGACTGTGTGGCCACCCATGGCTCCAACACCATTGTGAAGTTTGCTGACGACACAGTGGTGTTGGGTGCCATCTCCAACAACGATGAGGCGGCCTACATGGATGAAGTGAAGAATCTGGCATCGTGGTGCCAGGACAACCACCTCCAGCTGAACGTCTGCAAGACCAAGGAGCTGGTGGTGGACTTCAGAAGGGGTCAGCACAGAGACTACAAGCCCATTATCATCAATGGAGCTCCAGTGGAGAGGGTGCAGTCCTTCAAGTATCTTGGTGTCCACATCTCCTCAGACCTGACATGGGCTGCCCACATTCAGGTCCAGACCAAAAAGGCTAGGCAGCGCCTGTATCACCTACGACAACTGAGGAAGTTCAGGGTCCCTCCAAAGATCCTCAGGATTTTCTATACAGGCGCTGTGGAGAGCATCCTCACACAGAACATGACACCGTGGTTCGGGAACAGCTGTGTGAAGGACCAAAAAGCTCTCCAGAGAGTGATCCGTACAGCAGAACGCTGCTGCAGGATTGCTCTCCCCCTGCTTCAGGACACACCAGGAGATGCCGGACTAGAGCAGCGCAGATACTGAAGGACCCGTCCCATCCTGGCAACAAACTGTTCCAACTTCTGCAATCTGGTAGAAGGTTCCGCATCTTCCGGGCAAGGACAGAGAGACTCAAGAGGAGCTTCTATCCCCAAGCCATCCGTGCCCTAAACACACACACCCGCCCTCTCACATCATCTATAATTGACTGAGACAGGACTCTCTTCCAGACACTCTAAACCAAGGCACAATGTACATTCCAAATTCCTTTAATTTTAATGTTTATATTGTCTATCCTGTAAAATAGTCAGATGTCTATTCATATTAATGTACAGAATTCACCTGCTTGCTGCTACTACTGCACATTCACCCAGTGTATATATATATATATATATATATATATATATATATATATATATATATATATATATATATATATATATATATAAAATGTTCTTCCTCTACACCCCCCCAGTTTTTGCACATGTCGAGGAGCGTGTCAGGCTACATTTCACTGTGTGTTATACTTGTATAACTATGCATGTGACAAATAAAGAACCTTGAACCTTGAACTTTATTTAGGTGCAAGGGGTGGGTGGGGGTATTTCATTTTCATTTTATCTTTTGCATTTTTAAAAGTGTAAACTTCATTGAGGAAAATTTGAAATTTTTATGATATTTTGTTTGGAGATAAACGTTGGCGGTTTTATTTATTTTCACAGCACTATGAGCCGCTTTACTGCATCCGCCATTTTACTTTTGGGCATGAATCCACCAGTAGCTGAGAATTTCTAGCAACTAACCTCCTGGCAGCGTCCCGTTCAACCACCACAACCATCACACATGTTGTTTTCTGTTGCGGTTTAACTTTTCTTCCACTGTTTATTTAACGCTTGTAGAAACGTGTGTCTTAGTAAAATGCTAGCTTTTGGGCAGCATAAGCTTCTCTGTGAGGACTAACTAAAGGACAGGAACATCGTTTTATTTCAGTACAGGCCCATTATCGATGAGATATGCGAAAATTAAATTACACATTGACCGTTTTGTCTAGAAGCTGTTGTTTTATCCGTGTCGCACTGTCAGCTAATTGAATATCTCCGGAGCGCCCCCTGCTGGGCCTCCAGCTGGATTGCAGCCAGTTTCTCGGGGATTGGGCTCTGTCAATACATGTAACAATGGGTCTGTCAGTAACGTTTAATAATTGTCCATGCAGCTATTGTTTATTCAGCGGCAGGTGAATCAACAGGTTAACGTGTGATGGCGTTTCGTGACAGTTCTAACCGACGTTTACACTAAACACCCACTCACACCGTATGAGGATGCTGCTTAGTCAACTGGCTATAAGCAGCAGCTGCGCCTGCGGGCAGGCTGCCGTTAGTCTCGTTTTATTAGCGTGATTTTTTTGAGATGGCGGTTAGCATGTGGAGTTTACCAGTGACGTTTTGCTGCAAATAGTCAGCGAGGCTCCATGTAAAACAACAAAATCTCGGCTCATCGAAGGTAAAGTCATTAAACTAACGTTTACTGGGCTAACTGTTGACTGGCTAATGTAGCTAAAAGCTAGCTTAACCCAGGGAATATAAACAATGAACCAAAAACTAAGGAGCGAATGTCTTCAGCCCTTCATCGTGTGAGTGCCGCCTTTAAAAGTAGATGGTGAAATAGTAGAGCATCGACGTGAGCAGTAATCACCAGGTGGTAAATTATTCGGGATGAACACAGGTGGTTATTAATAAATCAGCCCTATTTATCCCATATTCGGGAAATGCTATCGTTACAGCACTTAAATTGAACATTAAAGATAACACCCGGATTATCTGGCAGATGGCTTTCTGGTAGGCGGATGTATTGAATTATAGAGTGTGATGGCATGTGGAAGGGAAGATTTTGTATATCTCTCCTTGTGGCAGTGTATCTGAGGCAGGCTCTGCTGTCTGTTTAGTAAGTGTTGCAGAGGGTGGTCAAGATTATCTATGATGGATAGCAGACTGTTCAGTGGCCTCGTCTCGATCACAGCTCTTTCGTAAGTGTCGTGTGTGCAGCCAGTCACAGAGCCAGCCTGTCTGATCAGTTTATTCAGTATGTTGGAGTCACCAGCTCCCCAGCAGACTTCAGCAAAGTCTAAAATTGGGTGATCTGCAGCATTTTGTTGGATGCTTTGAAGGATCTCAGTTTCTTTAGGAAATAGAGTCTCCTATTACCCTTCTTGTATACAATCTGTGTTGGTTTTCCTGATTTGGATGCCTGGAGTAGCCCTCTACTTCAACACCTTGTCCCAGGATAGGTCTTGGCTATGTAGCTGCCCTCTTCCTTCTGAAGTTAGTCACCGTAACTGTGGTCTTATTCACATTCAGAGGTAGACAATTCCTCCTAGACTACTTCACCGGTGGGCCCAGGCAAGTCTCTGGTGTGAGGGAGCTAGTCAATAGTTGTTAAGCCCTGATAGTGTTGAGTTCTTCGGTACAGGAACCAAACAGCATATTTTCCATAACACTGATATTAGCAGCGTTTTACCTGACATTTGAGGTAAAATGATGAGGTAAAATTGGTCTTCATGAAATTACTCGTAAGCAATTAAAGATCAATCAGAGGATAATAGATTAATGTACCAGCTGATCTTTTCTGCGGTGAATGTTATCAGCCTTCTGACAGCAATAACCAGACAGTGTTATTGCATATTTTAATGGCGTAACAAAACATATATTAGTCTATAATGCATTATATGTATAAGTGTGGATTAGAAAAATAATAACTACATGTGTAGTAAAATATGAGAAAACAACTGACAACTTTTGTGCCTTTCCTCTAGGTTTCTCTGACCATGGATCCGACCTGCAGTGGGTCTGTGGCTCCGGCCGGTTTGACGGTCCAGGTGTGCTTCCCAGGCGCCAGAGCAGCTGTTTTGGACAATCTGAACCGGCAGCGGGAGGAAGGCAGGCTGTGCGATCTCTCCATCCAGGTGCAAGGTCAAGTGTTCAGGGCTCACCGCTGTGTCCTCGCTGCATCCTCACCTTACTTTCATGATCAGGTAGGGCAGAGCATATTAATGCAGGGTTGAAGTTGTTGGGGTTTACTGTCTGATGTTGCACTCCAGTAATATAGCACTATTAGAATACCTAAAATCATCTCTGCATGTAGAGTGGGTGACAAGAGACGAAGGGAGAGACACCACTTCACAGCCTTTATGAGCATATCACCCACATGTTTTCTACTCCACATTTTGAGCTTTAATATTTACATTTTGGCCACAGCTGGCAAACATGTTTAAAAGCTGTATTATTAACTGTTGGAGTGCAATCCACTGAAAAAGATACCTGCTAATTAATACGTAGTAACATAAGCTGATGGTTATGATAAAATACTTGAATTTCACTCGCCAAAACTGAAGCAGAAAATCCTTGGGTAGTCTGTACCTCACAGTAGCTCAGATAATTTCATCAAACAGCACAAACATGGTGGAAATGTCCACATCAGTGACTCCAGTTAGCGGAAACCTAGCTTTTGTATAAAAAGCAGGTGTCTTAAGCCTCCCTTATAGTTTCTTTAGCTGTTTTTCTATGTTTAAAATGGATAACAAACTGAGCAACAGTTTGTTTTTGTAAATGCACTGGGTTTGTAAAACACTGGCAGAAAACCTGTTTATGTGTATATTTTAGTCCAGATGTCAAAGTGTGTCTTTGTTTCTGTCTCTTCACAGGTGTTACTGAAAAATGTTACAACTGTCTCCCTGCCCTCAGTCATGGACCCAGTTGCCTTTGAGAGCGTCCTGAGTTCTGCGTACACTGGCCAGCTGAGCATCGTGCATGACGATATCGTCAACTATGTCACCGTGGCCAGTTTCCTCCAGATGTGGCACATCGTGGACAAATGCACCGAGATCCTGAAGAGGCCTCGGTCCTTAGCAGAGGGCGCCTCTGGGGAGGCTGCCGTCGCAGCTCACCCCGGCTCTGCATCTCGCCAGCAGTCCCCGAGCAGCACGGAGTGCCTGTATGCAGAAAGGGAGGGAAGGAGGAGGGAGAAGAAGCCAGATTCACTGCCTCCTTTGGCTACATGGAGACGCCCACAGCAGTTCTCAAGATGGGGACGCCCTCGACCCTCGTCAGCCCAGCACTTGGCTGATTCACAGCTGGACAGCCTTCCTGGCTATGTGGAGACTGATTACACCAGCTGCGAGGAGACATGGGTATCGTGCAATGCTAAGACGAGTCACTTTACTCATGACGGACCTGGACACAATGCCCGGCACCATGGGGGGTTTTTGGGTGCTGAGGCTTTAAAGCAGAAAGTCAGATTTCAACAGCGGGGGGCACCACAGACCTCTGATCGACCACTCGATAAGAATAGAGAGAGTGGGGATGGTGATGAGACGCAGGATAAGAGGAGGAGTGAGAGAAGAGAGATTGAGGCGGATGAAGGAGTAGGAGAAGAGACGGGGAAGAAGGAAGGCTTTGCACAAATGGGACACTGTGGTAAGATGGACAAATATGAACAGCATTAAAGAATCCTTTTTAGACACTATTTGTTATTAGGATTTTTACTTTTCTTGAACAGCAGTTTTTTTCCAAATATAAAGAAATTTGCAGCTTTTGTGGGGATGATTTGGACTGACAGCAGTGCCCTGACATTTCCTGTAAATGTTACTGAAAGTTAATATGTTTATATATTATAAAATAAATACAAGAATTTAAATATTTTATTTATTGGTTTCAATTTAGTGAAATTCTGATTTACGTCAGCAGTGGATATAAATATAAATAATGTTGAATCTGACCAGATAGCTGGGTCATATATTCTTTCTCTTTGTGCATTTTCCCAGTGAATTTAATAAACTGTGCTTTTGTTCCTTCTTGTCTTCAGCAGACTTTCACTCAGTTTCAAATGAAAATGATGAAGCTGGACATGTTGCAGGGAAGCAGAGTGCAGACGTGATGAAGCAAAGAGATTTGGTAGGAAGCGATCCAGCCACAGACCTGCCCAGTCTTCATGGTTGCCAAACAGGTGACGCAGTTCCAGACCCTTCCTGCCCGTCCTCAGCGAGGCTTCAGTGGCAAACAGGTGCCTGGTCTCAGCAAGAGCAGAGGCCTCAGGAAGGAGAGGGCGGCAGCTGCAGTAAAGATGAGGATGATGAAGAGGAGGATGTGGATTTTGAATGTTTCACAGAAGCGACCTATAGGAGAGGCACTTACGATGAGATTGAAGATGGCACAGGACAGGTTTCCCAGCGGCCTTTGGTCCCCGTGTCTCCTGACTTTACAGTGGCGGGCGCGGAGGTGAATTGGCAGGGTGGCTCTTTGACCCCTACCTCCAGTCGCCATTTGTCCTCATCTTCTGCTGCATTTCCACCGCCCCCTTCACCTCCAACCCCATCTTCATCATCCTCAGTGTCCCTCGCTGCTGCGCCCTACACGGGCAAAGTACACTTCTGCCACTGTGGGAAAGCCTACACCCTGAAGAGTATGCGTGACCGGCATGTGAAGATGCAGCACCTCAATTTACGGCCCTTTGGGTGTCCTGTTTGCACAAAGTCCTTCAAAATGAAGCACCATCTCACTAAGCACCTTAAAACCCACGGAGGGCTGCGGCCCTATGAATGCAGCCTCTGTGGGAAGAAAGTCATTTGGAGAGACAGCTTCCTGAGACATCAGGCCCGATGTGAGAGACTTGCTTCCAGCTCCTCGGCGAACAGCAACAGTGCAAGCGCAGCAGCAGATATGGATGATGGCTACAGTTATGGATTTGATGAAGGGGAAGCCTTTCTCCCCACTGGAGGACAGGTGAAAGTTGAGGAAGTGGATTTTCATAAGGAGATAGAGGATGGGATGGGTGGGCTTTTGGGTAGTGTTTCTGGGATAGTTGCTGAGCTAAGAACCCAGACGCAAAACTTGGACCCTGGCAGTCACGTTTTTAAAGAGGAGGCCAGCGAGAGCTTTACCTGAAATTAAACGTTTATGTGGAAAACGGTGATTTAAAGCACTTACTGTAAAGTTTGAAGAAGGATTTTGCTTAAATTGCCATGAAATGTCATCCGATCTTCACACAATCTGAATAAACGAAGAACACAAGCAGTTATACTTTTCATTCTTTTATTTATGAAACATTGAGCAATCACTCAGTGCTGGATGGAAAGAATAAGCGAACCTTTGTGCTAATGAGTTCTCAGAAAAGCTGCTTGGAGTCAGGTGTTCCAATTAAGGCAATGAGATTTGACTTGTGGGATGTAGAGGCACTTATCCCTATAAACAAATGTGTACACAGTCTGATTACTTACAAAGGCTTTTCTGAAATTTATATAAAGTGGAAATATAGGACAGGCACTACTCTTTTTTTTCCAAAGGCCACAGAGACCACAATATATCTGCAAACAATATATCTACACTTACTAAAATAATTAAAAGATATACAGAAAACTTTTGAATAACAAATAGTGTTAATGGAAGGATTTTGCTAAGTAAATAAGTTTGCAAAAGACCAGATGGATGTTCCAAAACAGTTCTGTAATAATTTTCTGAGCACAGTTGAGACAAAAGTCAGTCTTACCATCCACCAACTGGATGCTTTGCAGGCATTGAGAGAGTAAATACGTTTATAGCGGCAGTTCTAAATCTGATGCTTAGAAGAGTTTGGGAAGATGCAGTAAAACAGGAAATATTATTGGCCTCAATGCTGTTAATGTTTGTCCAACTAAATAAATTCAATAGTTTACTTACCGTTTTAGAATAAACACTGTGGGATTACTCAATGTGTTCAATAAAGACATGAAAAGTAAAACTGATATTTTCCGAGTTTGATCAGATAATTAGTAATCAGTTAAAGTGTTGGTGATCCCAAAGGATTTGTCAGCTTTCTGCTGTATGTACATAAACACTTTAAAAGATGGAAATGTATAACGCAACAAATCTTTGAGCCACTGCTTCAGTTTTGTCCATTACATGTGCATTATTTACAGGCCATGGTTATTTTGAAAAACATGAGAAAAAAAATTCTAATTTCAAGTGATCCTTTTTCATTTTGCAGCGTCACATAGGCTCAGTTTTTGTTTAGTGATGCTTAAAACTCTACCAAGCAGTGTTGTGAATGTATTTCTCGCATTTTGCACATAAATTATTTGCCATTGACCTTTAACACAAGGATAAAAATGCTTTTTTCCCGTGCCATGCTGATGTCACTTATGTGAAGAAAAAAAAATCATGGTAATAAAAGTAGTTTTGTTTCCTGGTTTTGGTGATCTGTGATCATTTTAAAACATGTCACCGAGGCTCATTTTAATATTGTGTGTTATTTTAGAGCACTGAGGCCATTTTTAAATATTTTGTTAAATGACTTCTCAAGAAAGAAACTTAAAATCAATGGTGATGAGATTACAGCTTTATCTAGCAGTTGCTGACAAAGCCAGTCAGTGTATTGGCACCTGAGAGGCTAACACTGGGCTCCCGAATAGCTTGTTAGATTTATATGAAGTTTAGCATCTTTTCCAGGTTGAAACAGGTGACTTTGGGTTTCTAGTAGATAAGTGTGATCGTCTTCCCTGTGAGACGAGCTCTACCAGTTACATTTAGGCTTGCAGGGTGTGAACACTGATTTATAATTTTTCCATTTTAGGCTAACACAGTGGATTTTAAATCAAGCTATTAAGATATGATTGAGGTGGAGACTATCAGTTTAAATTCAAGTGGTTCAACAAAAGCAATATATAACTGGGAAAGGCAGTTGACTTAAAAAAAAAAAGTAATTCCGGTGACTGGAGTCGATTTTGTTAATTTCCTCTGTTGTATTTGGGAACCATTTATTTTTGCTATCAGTATGAGGTCCTTAGAGATGTTGATGTAAGTGAAGGAGGCTATGATTAGACTTAAAAAAAACAAAATGAACACCAGAGGGAGACATTATTTTAGGAATGACCAGTCGACTGTTTGGTACTTTTCTAAAACGAAAGAATGCAGTAAACACCAATAAATCCACAACTAAAGTGGATTCTTGCAGTTTCTTTCATCGGTTAAGAAAAATCCCTTCCTAGTGGAAATTTGACCAACATAAACAAATCTTACATTTTTGAGGAGTTAGAAATGTTTTTAGATGAATAGCCTCTTATCTAAAAGTATTTGAAAAGTACTGTATATGCGGCATTTTCCCACTGGTCAATATTAAAAGATTTTTAAGCAACATTCCACACTGCTGTGTGTTTTTGGAGGACATAAAACACTGAGGTTTAAAGAAACATTGCAGATAATTTTAGAACCCTTAGGCTGATTTGAAACAATCTGGAATTCATGTTTTAAACAATGCTGAGATTGTCGTAGAGCACTAGTGTGTAGATAGTGGTGGCCATTCTAGAACAACGGTGTGCAACATTCCAGAATGCAGAAGTTGATTTTTAAGCATTCATGGCCATTCTAGAACACAGATGCTAATGTGAAACATTCTAGAACTCTGAGACTGATTCTAAACTTACTAGAGCACGGCACATTCTAGAACACAGGTGTCGAACTTGAGGCCTTGAGGCCCGGAGTTGGACACCCCTGTTCTAGAATGTATGTTTTAAACAATGCTGAAGTGCTGTGTATATTGGTGATCATTCTAGAACAAACCAGTGTGCAACATTCTAAACATTGATGGTCATTCTAGAACATTTTAGAAACATTTTAGAAACATTCTAGAACACTGAGGCTGATCTGAAACATACTAGAATGTTTTTTTTTTAAACAATGCTACAAGTTTATTGAACACTAGTTTTTCATTGTAGCTAATTGTAGAAGACTAATGCATGAATAATGCTTCATTGGGAAATCTACAATGTTAACCCTTCACTGTAACCTTCCATGTAGCCTGATGTGCACCACCTGATGTGCACCTCCTGAAAAAAATAACTACACATCGGGTTGATGCAGGCTGCCTCGACTTCAATGGCATGGAAATGTGATGGACGGCTAAAAGGAGTTTCTGATTACGACGTAAGTTAGGATGCAGCTTTCCTGCAGAAGTCTAAATCGAGCTTTAGGCTCATCTTAAAACCTGGGTCATTTATGGTCATTCTCATAACAGTCTCAATAACTGTTTGTTGGCTCTTAGTCACCTGCTGAGTTGTGTGCATAAGAACATATTGCTTTTTTTATAGTGGAGAAATTCTGAAATTCAAATTTCAGTAAACAGGTGCTGCTTTTGGATATAGTATTTGCCCCATTAGAACACATTTAGAATGCTGCCTTGCAGCACAATGACGGGGCACAAGAGGTCTCTGTAGCTCAACACTGCATCAAGCCATTCTAGTCAAAAACTACACTATCTGTGATAACATGATCTAGAGATGCCAGTGAATGGGACTGCTGATTAATATATTTGGGTGTTTTCAGAAGGGATAGTCTATAGAAATAGCAAACATGAGGTCCTGACCATCAAAGAAAGAAATGACATAACACAGAAAATACACATTTTTGGCTTGCAGAGCCCTATAGCTTAGAGAGAAATGTTACTGCAGTACAGTTAAAAATCATTTTATAGTAATGTTTTGTCACATTAGACACTTGTATGGCTGGATTAACTGTGAAGATGAACTGGCTGAGTGTACAGTTTGCTCTTTATATGAGTGCTCAAATGTGCGTGACGTAACATGGATTATAGACCTCTGAGCCAATTGTTGAATTATTCAGAGAATAAGCAGCTCAGTGATTATTCTGCTTTTAGAGGCAGTAGTCCATGAAAAGTTCTATCTCACCGTTATTTCTAATGATGAGAAACACTGTTTTTCCCACTTCTCAGTATTGACAAGGGAGTCTAACGAGGATGACTCATCCTTGTTTAGTGTTTAATTAAATGTAGGACAGAGTGTCCTGCTTGATGTAGTTGAGATCTTGTTTTTTTCACTCTGCAAAAGACTTTGATATTGGGATTATCGTCTGACGTAGACGACTGGCCTCGAGAGAATATTTCAGCAGTGTTTGGGAGCTTTTTATGGCATGGATCATTGCTGAGTTACAACAGGGGCTTATCAGTTTACTTTTTTTTCCTCTCAGTTTTTGAGCTGCTAGGTCAAACTATAAGCCTTCTAAGCTGCAAGAAGGTAACAGGGTCAAATTTTGTAATTTTTTAAAACAATTTGGCAATTCAACAAAGACTCTTAATGGGTAAAATATTGAAAATTTATGAAGTATGGTTACAAATCTTCCAGTAGAAGGCTATTACTTACCTTAAATGAGCTTAAATGAGCAGAAATGTAATTTTCTTTTTCTTTCATAGTACTAGAAATTTATATTTCTTTATTTATTTGAGTTTATTTAAGACGTTAGAATATATAACTTCATAATAACGGGAAGCGGTGCAAGAAGAAATCTTATAAGCCTGCCCTTTGTACAAATGAATAGTTTAACATAAGGTATTTCACAATTGCACAATGCCTCTATGCATACTTGCAAATGTACCTCAGCATCAACACACATACAACACATACACATACAGAGCACACTATATTTCATACATTCATGTGCTCAAGGACAAAATAGAAACAAAATAGGAAGTAAGCATGATAAATTGGAACGGAACCAATGAACAGCTCATTTTCTACATTATTATTAGGGACACTTTGTGTACATTATCTTTGTGTAGTGTGTCTGTGTGAACTATTGTGTTGTTTGTTTACATTAAACTAATGATTAATTTAATATGTGTGATGTGAGGCACGATAACTTACAGCGAATGCAGCAGCAAGCATGCCAATGGTACTAAAACAGTCATTTCTGTTCTGAGCCTGTCATTTTCCACGTCTCTGTGTCAAATTGCTTATGTCTCATGCTTTGTGTTTTATTTTGATAGTCCTTGTCTCATGTCAGTGTATCTAGTTTTGCGTCCCCTTGTCTCTTTATGTCTGATTAGTTCCAGCTGTGTTTCCACCTGTTCCCCGTCGTCTCGTTATCCTGCCTGTGTATTTTAGCCCTCAGTCTTCCCCTGTTTGTTGTCACGTCATCTGTGTGTGAGTCTTCGGCGCTCCTAGTATTCTCCAAGTTCTCTGTTGTAGTGTGCTTCCCTAGGTTTTATGTTTCTGGTTTCGTTTTCTTGTATTCAGTGTAGAGTT